TCCACTTCGATTTCGATTTGAAGCCCCGCGCCGAATGAGATTCGAAGCTCGCGGCTGAATAACGTCAGATCGAGCGGAAAGTAATTGCGTTGGGGTGACGAGGAAAAATAATTACAAAGGAGCCGAACGAACGGCCAAAAGTAGGTTGGTCAAAACCCACAGCCTCGCGTGTCAAGTTTGGCTTGCGCCGCGTAGCAACGCCGTTAAATCAGTCAACGAATTGCGGAACGCTCGAATTCGCAAAGGCGCCACTCCGACACGTGTCCTCCTGACGCGCGGTTGCTCTCGTTCGGCGACGGCTTATTTGCAGCTCTCCGAGTGCAGCTCGAATTTTTATATTTGATAAAAAGATAAGCAACGTCAGTCGCTGGCGTTGTCGCGTCGATATTTCTGCCTGTAGCCGCTGCACGTATATGACGTACGGCACACATGCTGCATCAGCGTTGCTTTTTAGAGCATGAAAATGCTCTTTAATCCACGTAAACAGAATACACACACACACACACACACACACACACACACACACACACACACACACACACACACCCCTCTCGCGTGTCATTACATGGCTTTCTGTATAAGCCGCCATAAATAACGATAGGCGTCATCGTTTCAGCTCTGACATTAGGCACTGTTGACACGGCTGCTTGCCTTACGTGACCGCGAGGATAAGTGCGAGCGCCCGTGGAAAATCGCATTGTGCACGTACGTAAACTTGACCTCTCGAGCGCTCGTTAACGATGCTCGGATAGGCAATCCTTATGCGACTGGCGTCAACGGATGCTCGGTTCAAGGTCGATTGGCTATCCGCCTCTTCTTGTTTACGCGTGGAAGGGGACACGCACCCTTGACGGCGGCACTGACGCACCGCGACGATGACGCGTTGACAGTCGATCGATAGACCCGCGACGGCACGTCCGAGCTTTTCGCCCGTTGAGATATACTCGTTTGAAAGGGGACACTTGTTGGGCGAAATTGCGGAATTCGTACGACGACGACCGGCGACGCGCGAGCTCGCCAATTGTCCTGCGTCTCTACTTTGACTTTGACTTTGGCTCGCTTCTCTCTCGATGCCCAATTTAGATTGCTTGGAAGTGCACCTTTCCAGAGCTGCGGGCTGTAGCGGCCAAAATAGAAAAAGAGGTCGGGATGCAATCCAGTGTCCCTGTCGGATCTCTGCAGATTTCAAGGAGGACAGGAGATGCTTCCTTGCACGTTCGCGAGGCTGACGGCTTTGGCAGTAACGCGCAGCGAACGTAACGTTGAATTTTCCGTTCGGACGAGTTTTCTATCGGGTTCGATCGAGGAATCCCACTGTACATCGCAGTCGGAAACTCGGAAAGCTAACTGAGCAAAGTACCATGCATTTACGCAGGCAGCGAGATACCAGGTTATGTTTTTAGTTTCAGTTTTGAACGTGCACGTCCGTTATGGTCGGATTACGCTGAGAAATGAAAGTCCACGCGTGAGTTGCCATCGGTGTTCCGTCCTTTTTCTGACTCTTTTCTTTTCTTTTCCACAGCATCCAATTTCAGTGGCATTGGCAAAATCCGTATAACGATCGAGCTCGGCGAAAATTCGCCTTCCTTCGGAGAGAAGAAAAAGGCAGCCGCCAGGCGTGCGACACGCGCGCGAGTTCGACTGATTTATCAGTGGCGATAGGCGGAGGCGGAAATTGGCATTTCGTTGTTTTTTTTTCTCCTCTCCCCGCGGCAGCGCAAACCTGCCGGCCGATATATCCCTGGCCATTAGTCTCTCTGGCCGAATAAATAATCGACGCAGCGCGCACGGGGCGGAAAGAAAAGAGGAGCGTCCGCGACGACGGATAAAGACTGAGGAGACTCGCTCGCAAAAGGAAAAGCGAGTGCACGGGGCACAGCGCGCAAGCTTCGCCGGACGAATGCCAAAGCGAGCAAATTTAGACGCGTGTACTGACCTCTGCGCTTCTGCGCTTTATACGCTAGAGTGGCCGAGTCGCCTTTGGATCCCGGCTTTCTCAGACTCTCGCTCGTCTTCAAGGGACGAGGATTAATTGTTTGTTGTGATCGGCACTTTGATTAATTGACTATCGAGTCTCTCTTCTGGCTATGCCAGTCCTTTGCTCAGTGTCTATTTTTCTTTCTTTCGTTGATCGCAGTGTGTAAATTAAACTTCTGCTAATAACCCACTGATTACCGTTTGATCCTCTGTTTATTTGGCTATCAATTTTCTTTTAAAATCGTTGGATAAAAGCGTCGTAAAAAAAGGCATGATCTGAATTTGGTGAGTCAAATGAAAACTGAAATTGACGATTGAAATTAAGAGCTTTCTTTATATTTCGCACGATCGCATCAAACGGACGTTCGAATTTCAGCTCGAAACTTCGCGAGGGCAAAATATAATTTAAAAACATTTGTTTTCAAGACGTTTAATTCTCGCGCACGAATGCCAACTCTGTATGTATTGGTGAAAGAAGCGTTAAGAAATGAACCGAGAACGTATTCACTGCTGCTGTGGCGGCCGGCAAACGGGAAACGGAGAAAGGAAAATTACGAGCGGAATATCGCTAAACGAAATTTGGCATACTGACAACAACGCTACGAATATGCGACTTTTGAACTTTCGTGCACATATTTACGGATCGAATAAGCAGATACAAGTTGGAATTGCCATTTCGAATACTCAAAATATCCAATCACTGAGCCAAAATAACACTTTCAAATGAACGCCTCTGACTCATAGGGCGCTATCAAGTAAAAAAGTAATATATAAGTATCATCTTACATATTAAGATGATACATCGCTTCGTCCCGTGTAGCTATTGATTTCATTTCAGTACGACTTTATAGCACGTGCACGACACAATACAACGGCAGGTCGTCGCAGCTGTACAATCAATGTTGCACGGCCGACGACTTATCGTGGGCCTTAAAAACACGCGAAAGCAGTCGCGACTTCTCGGGTAAAAGAATTCATTTGCGCAGGTCGCTTTAAAAAACAAACACACTGTCTTAATGAATTGGTGACTCGACCGTAGATAAAAGGGCGTTCGTCTTCGTAATCCGAAGCTTAAAGAGTCAAGCATCTCGCGGGGAAGAAGTTTGTTCGCTGGCTGATACCGCAAATAGCGAGTTCTTTGACAAGGCAAACGATCGCGCTGATATATATTCGCGCGCACGTGGCAGTCGTTTGTCCTGCATTTTAGAAAGTACGCATACGCACACACATACACACACATATGCATACGCGTCGGGGCAGAGGAAAGGGACTCGTGCACGCAACGATAGGCTTGTAGAGATTGTTGCACGTGCAGAGCGCGCGTTCGCTACATTCTTCCGTGTCGTCGCCGTCACGCGCCGCTGCTTGTGCGTAGATTTTAGTCGCGGTTCGTCTTGTGGTTATCATCGACAGCTTATTGCACTGATCGCTTAATCGTGACTTAATTCTGACTCTACGCCTGATGCCTCTGTGCTTGGCTTTACTGTTTGCTGTCGGATCCATGAAATGTTAAAAATTAAAGTAATGTTGACTAATGGAAAGAGAAGCTGAAACCTAGATAAACATGGAATCATATCATAGACGTTAATCACGATTGTACGAAACGTTGGGTCGAAAGGAGCTTCGAAAGTATTTTGCAAAAGAGCGAGCCTCGCTACATTGTAAATGTTTGGTAAGTAGATAATGACCAGGTTCGTGTGCCCGAAGAAGCACCTATGGCCCTGATTACATAAAAATCATTTGTACATCTGCCCGAAGTCGATAGCCTACGTCAGAACTGCGTTCTTAAAATGACAGTGAAGCCGAAGCTAGCACAACATGCGTAAATCTAGCAATGATTGTCGCTCACACTCCCGAAAAACTGTCGCGAATTTGCAACCTCGAGGCTGTACGATACGTCGAGTCGAATCGCGAGAAAGAGAGAGAAATTGCACGGGAGCATAATCCTCGTTGGCGAAGCTGTTGCATGCTCGATAAAGCCCATTCACGTACATTTCTATAGTAATTGTCCCATTCAGCATCGCGCCTCGAATGGTTGAAAATCTCCGTGGTTTATAATACGTCTGAATTTTGTATTGAAGCAAGATAAACGGCGAGAAGACGAGAGCTCCAGTAGTTTTCCGAGTAAGTCCATTAAGCGAGAGTAAGAGCGAGTACTTGCACACGCATTGCTCAACTCACCGTAATTGTTTTTTTTTCCATGGCAGGCTGCGTGCAGTTACAGGGACAGTGCCGTAATCGGTCAGCTGGCTTCGCCGATTTTTTTTCTCGTGAATCCCTCTACTTCTTTTTTCACTTTGACGAGTATAAACACGCTAAAGGTTTATGTGTCATTGGGTAATTCGCAACGCTTACTTTATCTATTTCTTTTCTTTTTTTTCACTGCTAATCGAGTGGAATTCCATAAGCGATGTATGTCCTGATTAACATAATCATATTTCACGTGCTATATGCATACTTTCGCGAGCACGTCGAACGACGTAATTGGACGCTATAAGCGGATATTTTTATTCGAGTCGTTCACGCGTACAAATGCTGAAATAAACCAGAGCTTTCTTATTTAAGAAAATGTCGCGGGCTTAACTAAGAGGCACTTTTCAGGTGAAAAACAACATTTTTAGGTTCGGAAAATCACCAGGTAGAACTTGTATGTCACTTGTTTATTGTTCTAAAAATATAATAGGAGTCATTGTCCATAAGCAGAGAGAGAGAGAGAGAGAGAGAGAGAGAGAGAGAGAGAGAGAGTTAGCATTGCACAATTGGCGGTAGAATAATGTTCGCGAGAGTGAACGAGCGATCGTATCAATAGACAAATTTAGAAGCAGCAGCAACACGAAACATCTACTTATAAACCCACTCAAATTACACATCTACTACTCGCGACCAGCGAGAGAGAGAGAGAGAGAGAGAGAGAAAGAGAAAGAGCTTGCGGGAGATTGAGATGGACACAACCCCCGTCAGCCAGCGGCCGACGATCGGGAAATTTCGCTCGACAAACGAAGCAGGAAACAAGCACGACTTACCGAAAGAGATGCGTTTGTCGAAGCAACGAAAAGAAGTTGAAATAGCTGCTGGCGTCACATACACATTGGAAATTTTCTTGGTTCACTAGGAGTCACTGTAGGAAGAGAGGAGAGAGAGATATATAGAAAGAGAGACAGACAGAAGAGCACACACACGACTGGCGCGAGCTTGCGCCGGAGACTGCAGGCTGGCGCTGCAGCAGCGTAGAGCGAGAAAGAGAGGAGACTCTCGGACGGGGCGGGGAACGAGCTTTCGCGCATCGGCCGTATCGATCGGCTAGTGGCGCTCGCTCGCAGGCACGAGAGAGCTCTGTACGTTGAACCCTCGCCTCGCTTGTTTTCCCTTCCTTCGATGCAACATATCATACTACTACTACTACTACTACTACTACTGGCTATAGCAATGTACCTGGCTTGCTCGCTTTTGCTCTCGCGCTTCTTTCTCTCACTCTTTCACACGTGCTTGACACCTTGCTTCCTGCGCTTTTCTCCTTTTCGTTAAATGCTTCTGCTACCAACACAGACAGCTTTCTTATGCTTCGAGTTGACTATCTTATTCATTACTTTTCTGTGAGAACTTTTACTTTGGCAATTTTTGTTTGCCGTCTCTTTTCGATTATTTAATTTTAGATGCCATTCAAAAGTTTTGTTTTGGCGGTATTCATTTATATTATACAATTGGGAATTTGCGCGATGCCATTTTTTCTACAAGATTCTAATCGTTAATAGTCTTTGCATTGCCTTTGTTTTCATTTTCAAGCTGTTAATTTAAGTATATTATAATTATGAATCGAGGACTGAAAGTAATAAGTTGTCTTGAATGAAAAAATAAACCACCAATCTCGTATAAAAAATCTAATTTTTCTTTGTTAAGATAATCGATGCTGGATGATCATATATTAAATATAATTATTGGTTGTTATAATTACTCAAATTGATTATATACGACGGGAGAATTTGTACATAATTATTAATTTGACGACGAACATACACATTAAGTGAACGAACGTTGGTTTCACACTCTTAGAGTAATAATTTCACGATAATTTATAATTAGCTGACAAAATTGGCGATTAAAAATAATGATATGTTTTACTTAATAAAACAAACTTAAAATTTATCAATGAGTTGAAGTATATGCTGTTGTTGAGCTTCTTTCCACTCAACATCACCATTATCGCCCAAATTGCCTGCATATTCTGCAAATAAAAAAGGAATATTTATCAATGATAAACCATAAATATGAATGTCAAAAAATATATATAATAATCTAACAAAATTACCTCTGACAATATTTCGGATAGTTTTTAGTGAAGCTCTTCTTTGAGTGAGAATTTTCGTTACTCTCTGTTTTACAGCTGCTGGACATCCAATACAGGCCTCAAGTAAAATATAATCTACTAATTGCAAAGTAAATAACCCGCCATTGAGTCTGTTTATTAACGCCTCTTCTTCGTTGTCTTCATCCTTTAAAGAGTAATAAAAGATATATTGAAAAATAAGATAAGAAAGATTATAATATTTACTAAAAATAGCTACCTTAGCATTTTTCTCTACTTCTTCCACTTTTTCAAGATATTTAAAATGAAGTTCCATTAATCTATCAACTTTTTCATAATCATTTTCAGTAAATTTATTTAATAATCGTTGTCGTTGTTGACCTTTGCAATTTCTTAACATACTAGCTATGATTGAAACGACGTGTTCTGAAAGAAATCAAATAATACATTATAAAAAAATTAATTTTTTTAATTTCAAAATTAGTATAGTAACCTTCATGCTCTTCAGCAGTAACGATCTTTTTTCTATTTTTCTTTGGGGTTTTCATAAATAATGGAAATATAGTTCGAAGACCTAGAATATCTACAAATTTGCTACAATTATCTTTACCATCTACTCCATTCATTGCATAATCAAGGACCTGAAAATTTATAACAAGTTCATAAAGCTTTGCACTTTTGATTTGAAAAATGTTTATTACTTTGTGACATTACCTTCAGAGAACCATTTCTTGAAATTTTCTTTTCTCGCAACATAAGATTCATCAGTTGAAGTCCTTCTCCTTTTAAAAATCGTTCTTTATTTACAGTTTCCATTAAACTGGAGCATAAAATATTGAAAAGATTCTCCATCAACTCATGTTCTTCCGGAGTTTGTGGGTCATGTCTTTTGTAATACTAGAAAAAATAAAATATCTTCAGAATTATATTAGAAAAAGAAAAATTAATTTTATAGAAAGAATCAAAATCTTACAGCCAGCTGTTGAAGAAGAACATCAATTCCATCAAGGTCTCCGAGAAGTAACTTATTTTCAGATGTGTTTTGAAGAAGAATAGAGAGAATTTCAGTTGCATACAACTTATTACTGTCAAAAGGACCTTTTACCTTTACTCTTTTCAAAAGCCATGTTATCAAACCTTGTTTACCAGCATCTACACATATTTCTGGTTTTATTTCCAATAAATTTTCAAATATAGCTGAACAAAATTAATAATGAACATTAGAATTACAATGTTATAATTATCCATAAAATTAAAATGATTGAAAAAGTACTATAATCTTACACAGTGTATTAAAAACTCCACTACTTTCATCACTAATGGTTTCATCAAGTCTTTCCAAATTTTGCACAAGAAGTGCAAATACTTGTTGGTTTAACAGTGCATCTATTAATACATCAGCTTCATCCGGGGCTTCATTGTAAACATCTGGTTCTGTGAGTTCTTGTAATAAATCAACAACCCTCACTGATATATCTGTATTCTCATGTGCTAATAACTCTAATAAGGATGGCACCACACTCAGCTCAACCATTTGTGGATATAATTCAGGATTAGTAGCTACTGCATGTAATTCTTGTAAGACATCATGTAGTTCTAATTCAGATTCCATAAATTTATCAGGTTGATCTGGAAATTTTACTCGCATTTCTTGGTTCCTGAGTGCTCTCTTTTCAAATAGTAAAATCATTCTCTTCAAATTTGTTTCATCTAAAGGTTCTATTTCTGCAGCTTCAGACTCAACAAGCTTAATGATGTTTTCTTTTTGCTCTTGTGTCAATTCTGGTTCAATCACATCATTTTCTGGTGCTGGAAGTGCTGCACGAAGTGGTGTTGGTGGTTCACTTCTTACTGGAGTAGAGTCTACTCTTATTGGAGTAGAAGGCACAGGTGTGCCTCGCAATGGGGTAGATTTCAAACTATGCCTTTGTCTTGGAACGTATGGAGTTTTAATAAGTTTTCTTCTATTTGTATCCCACTCATCTTCTTCATCTTCTTCATCTGGTGCTGATCGTTTTGGGGTATTTGGAGGCTGTAATTGATTAGATCATGAAGCTTTATTAATACACTAATAAATAAAGTAAAAAGAACTTTCTTGTATTATCTACACTTTGTTAGAATTGTTCCAAGAAAAAAATGTATTATTTACCTTATAGGACAAAAGTTCTCCTATATCCATATTTTTGTTTACAAATATTAAAACAAATAAAGCAATCCTAATAAAAAACTATAGTAAATAATTTTATTTAAACTCCATAACCTCACGCTGAATTCGTTTAGATTGGATTAGACACACTATAGACTGTTCGACCCCCACTTCTCGCCCATCAAAACGACAATATAAAGTACTTTTATAAGAGTTTGCTCCAATACCCAGATAACACAGCGTGCCGGCACGGCGTGCAGCATAATGCAGGCATAGTGTTAGCACGAAAAGCTACGCACGCCGTGCCGTCAGAATGCAGGCATAATGCTGTCACGAAGCGCTACACGCCGTGCCTTCAGAATGCTGTCATTTTGCCGCTCCGTGAAATATAATTTCAAATGAAAGCATATTGCACGCATTATGAAAGCACGGCGTGCATTGAATTAAAATAAAATAAATTTATATTATTTTATATTTGAGATGCAATAAACATCTTTGAGTAGTAATTTTTGATATTTTTTATTTATTTATACAATAAATTAATTATACATATTAAGATATCTTAAAATTTATATACACACATATACATGCGCACGATCCAGATCGTCTTTTGTTATTATCGATTATTCGATTTGCGAAGTCCGCCTTTGTATTGTGTGTGCTGCAGCGAAATTCTGATTCCAGTTCTCTTCCATATATTTTCAAGGTGAGTTCATTTTTATTTAATATAATTATTATTTATTTAATATTGTAGGAAATACTAGTATTTAATATCGGATAAGATCTCATTTATGTTTTTATAAGAATTTCCCATATAAATACTATTTAAAATATATCCTCAAAAGGTACTACAGATGAATATATACAGCTATATTTAGAAATTATAGAAATTAATTTCTAGTTGTAAATGGCTATAACATCTTTGAAATAGTATTGATTTGAAAAAACTGGTATAAAAGTAAACAGTGATCTTATTCTATGCTGAATTCATGAGAATATAATTTAATGCAAGATCATGTAATGAAATAATTGATTCTCACGAATTCAACATTGGATAAGATTACTTTTACACTTTTAAGCACCTCTTTAACTTGTAGTTCTACAATATCTTCTAGCATACCCCTTATATACCTATATTGATTATCTATGTAGTGCATTTAATTAAAATATTTTGAATTAGTTTTATTAAAACCTATTCATAATTTGATGAATAATCTTAGTAAATTTCAATAAAAAATATTTCATCATTCATTTTTATTCCAGGAGACAAAATTATGTAGGAAAAATGAAGTTTGCTAGTTTTGATACGGTTTCAATGGCTAAAAAAGTAGTTGTTACAACTGAAGAAATGTAATTGCAGCTTTACGTGTTAAAATAGGTATTTTTATATTCAAATTTAATAATTTTGAATAATATGTTTGTTAGAATAAATTGAAAATTGACTTATGTATCTGAATGTAGGACAACTATTATGGAGGAGAGTACTAGAAAAAGGATGTGCTGGTCGCATACAAGCATTCAGTAACGTTACAAGTGGAGAATTGATTTCAGTGAATGGTGGTGTCCCAGCTTTAGTCTGTTATTGCAATTTAGCTACTGGACATATAATAAATGAATGGACATTAGCAGAACAAAATCGAGACAGGTATTATTTTTTCTCATAATTCACTCAATTAATAATTTCAAACTAGTTTTTATTAATCTGCTCTTCGACTAATGATAAATAGATATGACAACTAATGAGTTTAATGCTACATGAATTTGAATATTTTAATCCAATAAAAAAGTATTAAAAATCACTTTTATATACATATTTAAATTTTGTAATGTCTATTTCAGAATTGATTCTCCATTTATATCATATTCTACAGCAGGGCTTTACAATAGTGAAAGGTTTTACTTTGTCAATTTTTTTGCTGTACACTATTAAATTTACAATTATAAATTGTATGATACACAGAATTTTTCATAAATCTATATTTTTTCAATATCTTGTAATGAGATATTGATAGAATTTGTTTATGTTACATGTTCGATAAAATATGAAATGCATTTTATGTGTATTTTCATAGGCAATTCAATCAAGTAATACTGTTGTAATGTTTGCAGGATTGAAGATGTTTAATGGCACATAAAGCATGGAACCTTACATCACATTCTACCAATTTATAATAATGGTATTGAGGTCACCTCATATCATAGTAAAACTGGAGAAAAATTGAAAAATAAGAAAATTTCTGCACCTTTCATATCTCAAGAAGCCAAGTAAATATTTTATATCAAAATTATCTTAATTATTTTAAAATAGAGTTTTTTATTTATGGAGATAACTTATTTCAGGTGTATTTGAGCAGCATCAAATTATGTTTGCTTGAAAGGTGACAACAATTTAGCACTATTGTTTTATATCAATATATTTGAACCTAAATCGGAGCCTCAGTCAATAACAATTAACACTATATTTGGCGCCGGTGCTCAAGGACCTTACAAGTTTACACTATACTTCCAGGAAACATATCTGCAATATCTATTAGAGCCGGCAGTAATAACAGAAAGCGCGTAGTATTTGAGAAAAGCCCTAAAATTATTTCACGAGATATGGATGGATAGACTTTTTGTATGTTACTAATTTAGATAGCAAAAAAGTAGTATTAGTCATCATATCAAAAGGTGAATATAAGAAACTAATATACGAATCTAGCGATGCAAGAAATATTTACTTATTTGATTCCAATAAATATTACATATTTTAAAATAAATAAAATTTGTTTTTAGATTACAAGAATTACCATAACTGAACTTAGCATAAATGAAGCTCTATCTGAAAAATTAGCATATGTAACAAATAGTTCACTATTTAAGCCTGCGATCGTTGCGGCCGATTCTTCTTGTTAACAACAAGCGTCAAAAAGGAAAACGTGTAGATTTTTACTCTCCTCTGAGGACAATATACTGTCAGTTTAGTCCAACAAAATATTATCTAGACTAGAGAGGAATCTATCTCACAAATATTGTAACCGTTGAAATTGTTGACTTGCCAATGTCAGATCGTGATCAAGCACGATCAATATAATTTTAATTGTTTTAGTTAACAGTTAGATGAAATTCCGTCAATTTTGAGTTTCAAGTACATCTTATTCTAATTCAATAAATCAATATATTAACTTTCTTTTACGAATGGTTGCTGTCCGGTCATGATGTTAATAGTTCATGTAAGTAGCATATACGTGTAGGCGACATCAACATTTAAGTGTGGAGTTTGATTTTTCATTATGATTTTTTTATGAAAGCATGATTTTTAAAAGTTGAAATTGTTATCATAAATTTTTCGTTAGCATGAGAGTTCTAGTGTTTATTAAGCGTTTGAAAATATTATTTTCAGGCATTTGAGTATCAATATAAAATCAACTATATTGTTGAATTATTATTAGATAACAATATTTTCTTAGCGTGTTAACTCTTTACAAATAGATTTTTTATTAGTTTAATTTATTTAATTGTTTTAGTTTTGTCAAACGTTGAACTGACTAAATAAACTGATGTATTGCGTTCGCCAGGCTTTAATTTTTAAGTTATTTCAGTATTCTTTTGAGTTGTTAATATCTAACTTGTTGATTTATCTTCTCTTTTATAAGCAAACCAGATAAACGTTTTCATGCAAGGAACTTTAGGCTTTGAACCACAGTAATCAAATCAACGAGCCGATTTAGTTCGTGATAAATTTGGTTTACATAAAGTGATTGTAGCTGTTACATCGTCAGGGAAGGTGAAACTTATATCAAACTTAAACGATAGATAAACTGATTTTAATTTTCGTGTGGCTTATATTAACAATTTATTATTATAACTGTACGGAATAGAGTCAACAAAAGGTGAAATCATTTAATTTAATATTGAATTGTTCCACAATTTACTCTTCGATTTCAAATATTTCAACCGGAATGTTATTCATTCAGTTGCATTAACAAATGGCGGAGTGTTGAAATTGCCCTGGATATTTGTAGATCCAAGAAGGCCAGTAAATCCTGAATTAAGGGAAGAAGGAGCCCGAATTGCCCATACACATGGACGGCATTGTAAATTACAATCAGAGTGTTTCTAGGGTATCTGGAATTCATACTACTCCTAGTGGTCTTGAAAGCACATGTTTAGCACATGTATACATAATGGAAAAAATAGTTTTAGTTTATGAGTGGTATCGAAACATTGTTTATTAATAATTTGAATCAAAAAACCATTTTATTTACTTATTTGCTTACATCTTTGTTTCTAATTGTCGTATCGAGATAAGACTTACAATATGAGATTTCTGTTAACATTTTTTACTTTGTTCAATATCTTTCGAAATTAAATTAATTTATTTTAACAATAATTTTCATTGTTTGCAGAAATGTTAAAAATTATAAATGATTATATGTACTGGTCTTCTTTATCCAGTATATAACCATTATCATAACCATATTCATTTATCCAGTATATAACCGTTTATCATTTTTAATATTTCTGCAAACAATGCAAGATATTGTTGTTAAAATAAATTAATTTAATTTTAATAAATATCAATCCTTGTGTTAAATTTTATCATAAATCTAATGCCGCGAGGCTTATCTCGATACGATAACTAGAAAAAACGATATAAACAAATACTAAATAAGTACTACATTTTCATTAAAATTATTAATAAACATTGTTCTGATACCTCTCATAAATCAAGACTATTTTTTCTCATTATTTACGCGTTCTTCCTCGACGAACGTAAAAATAACGCGGTGTTTGGAAAAATATATATTTTATTATTTTTTCGGACATCGTAATGACTGGATTATACATATGTATTATTTATATTGATATTATTTATTATATTATCCCTAAAAATAAAGATATAAATTTTTTAAAATATTTTAATAATTTAAATGTTTATAAAAAATAAAAAATAATAAATAAAATTTTCAAAATGTGTATTTTTATTTAAAAACCAATAATAATAATAATAACATAATAATAATAATAATAATATACAGTATACATTTTTTCAAAATGCTGTCACAATGCGTGCATTCTGCAAGCATTTCGTGCAGTATAACGGGAAGGCATAATGTCGGCATAATTCCCGTACGCCGTGCCCAACGATGGTTACCATGCATGCTGTCACAATGCAGGCACAATGAGCGCACGGCGTGCTTCCAGAATGACGTCAGAATGCGGATACACTTGGACGTCACGTGCCGGCGCATTCTGACGGCATAGTGCCGGGACTGTGTTATCTGGGATTGATATCTTATTCTTCGGCTGACTTCATAGTATTATATTTTGTAAGATTAGGTTTGTTCGTTCGGACAGATGAATGTAATTATTAAATTAAAAAATTTTTTATCTATTCTCATATAATAACGTAATATACCTACACTGCCTCGATATTAATTCGCGACCCGCGAAGTTCAAATCCAAATTATTTTCGACAACTTAGCAATCTATTAGCAAATTGATTTTATCTGGGGGCCTATTCTGAAAAAAAATTTTAGCACATGTCATAAGCATTTATCACATCTAAAGTGATTAATTCTGTGGTAAACTGAAGTGACAAACTGATTTACCACAAAATTTTTTTTCAGAATAGGCCCCCTGGCAAGATACAGTGGCATAACTAGCTAACATAATAGCCCTTGACTGAACCTTATTTGGTGACATCGATGTTCATGGTTCAATCGTCAAAAGCAAGAAATTGTGTAGGGGGGAGCGTTCCTACACTAAAGTTTTCCTTTCTTTTGCGAATATGCTTACCCACTTTTTACACACAAAAGTCGGAAAAAATTTTTCGCCCGCGAAATGAATTTTCAAATACTTTCGCGCACGACTTTCTTGTGTCTCTTTAAATTTTTCCGTGTAATAACTTTTTTTTGCATATTATTATATAATTTCAGTTTTTGCGCGCAAAAACCGTATAGCAATAGGAGTTAATGATTTGCGCGCGATCGAGTAGTTAATGGTTTTCATAAGCGGAAAAACTAAAATATTCCCCTTTCAAAAGTATTTTTGCTACAATCTCAAATTGACAAGGTTAATTACTTGAGCCATGTGTACATACAACATATGATATGCTACCGCCCGATACCGGATGTGCCCGTGACGCTCATGTGCTCACAAAGTGCTTAATTAATATAGGACTAGGACAAATAGAGCGTACTGCGGGCGAGTTCATTACTGAAATGTGCATGATATGATATAGTAATATATAAATGTTTGTAAACCAATAAAAATACTATTCAATTCAAAATATGCATCGCTTAATAATCGCGCTTATCAATTTGAAATTATAGCAATAATATTTTTGAAAAATTAAAATCTTTTATATGCGAAAACTATTAACCCTAGACGATATCGTAATGTGTGCGAGACACCGATGTTACGGTTTTCACGCGCGTAAATTAAAATAGTGTAATTCACAAAAGAAGATGTCACGCGAAAAAGCATAAAGAAACGCAGGAAACCATGCACGAAAGCATTTGGAAAATTTGTTATTTTAAATAAATTTTCCAGCTTTTGTGCACGGAAAGTGGGTGGAGATATTCGCAAGAAAAAAGGAAAATTTCACACGTGAGTCTCGTCCCCTTGACAATCTTCAAAAATAATTCGGATTTGGAACTTCACGGGTTACGAATTAACGCTCGGAATTGTACAAAAAAGCTATACTACAGTAAAGTCGTATTCAACGTGCAAATAAAAAAAAAATGTTAAATATTCACTGCAGACAACTAACCGAACGAACTGACTTACATACTCTCATAAAATGTAATCGTATGAAGTCAGCAGAATAGTAAGATATCAATGCCGGCCTAGCACAGGTTCGGCAGGTCAAATATTGTACACGTCATAACTTTCATTATGCCACTTGTTATTTAAACTTTTCGTAAAAACAGATTTTAATTCGTAATATAATATTGAATATGGAGACACTTTATCATCAGACGAATAAAATAGTACAGGAAACCCAGTACTTGTTTAGTCAGTTGGAAAAACAACAGCCTAACCTCGACGTTGAGGCGGTTGAACATGAAATCCAAACGAAAATTCAACAGATTAATAGGTATAAACAATTACTAATTAATTTAATAATAACTATTCTTTATAATGCTTAAATGAGTTACATTTATTTTCGTTAAAATGATCAAACTTAATATTTGTTTACATTATGCAATCAATGTAAAATTAGGAAATTGGTTAAATTAAATGAGTTTCTCTAATAAAAACATTTATAAATATCTTTATGGATGATTTTTTTAACAATTTTTACAAATTTTATTTTTGATACAAGAGAGACATTGATTCATTCTAGAATTTGCTTGAAAATTTTTATAAATACATTTTGTAACTTGCATCTTTTAAATTTGTTAATAGCAATAAACTTGCCATTTTTTGCAGTAACTGTGATAGATTGGACATATTTTGTTCTAAAGGGCCAATATCCCAAAGGCAAAATACAAAGATGCGAGTAGATCAGTTGAAATATGACAGCCGACACCTTATGGCAGCACTGGATTTTTGGAAAAACATGATCCAACGTAAGGAAAGAGAAAAAGCTGAGAGAGAAGAATTGTTGTCGCGCAAATTCACAACTAATGACCATGTAGATATTATGATTGACCACAGTGTGCAACACAACAGTAGAATGCGGAGTGCAATTGGAGGTGTAGATGACATGATTCAACATGGTAGTGGTATACTTGAAAGTTTGCGATCACAAAGGTATACATTGAAAGGAGCACATAAGCGTTTGATTGACATAGGTAATACATTAGGATTGTCTAATACAACAATGAGACTGATTGAGAATCGGGCTCGTTCGGATGGATTTATTCTAGTTGGTGGTATGCTTTTTACATGTTTAATTATCACATTAGTAATTATTTATCTTGCATAGACATTCCTTGTAAAATGAAATTGTATATACTGAGTGTAAAAAGTGAAAGAACGTTGAATGAAAAAGAGAAATTAGGAATCAAAAGTAATGTATATTTGTTTTGAATTGGAAATGTTTAGATTAGCATTGAATGATTTATAAACTTTCTTAAGCTTATAAATTTGTACAAATAGGAACTATGTTGTTTGTAAATATATATATGGCACTAAAAGTTAAATAATACAGAGTTAGTCAATTTATTTGAAAAATTACTTTTTATTTATCATTTAAAATAGTAAATTATGTAAAACTATTTAGTTAAAACGTTATCTGTTATTTTATAGTTAATTTATTTCATTATTTCTTGAACAAGCAGTCAAAATTTCTTCGTTTTATTTAGACCATAAGTATGGCGACGTTGAACAAACAAATATTTATGTTTATTTTATAAGTCGTATATTAGACCGTCATAATATTTGTCTAAAACAACGTACACTGGAGCTGCATAAGTAATGAAGTCACGTCTGATTCTGCTCACTTATGACGGCTAGCTTATATCAACCGGCCTGCTTCAAAATCGAACGCGCGCAACAGGTAGTGTACCATCAACCGTATCTGGCTCCAAAAAAGCACAAAAAAGACCAGACGCGCTTTAGACCGCCCTAACATACGACCAAAGAGAACGTCCGGTATATATACTCCTCTCTACAACTTTCAGCGTCGAGTTTTTCGAGAGAGAGAGAGAGAGAGAGAGAGAGAGATAGAGAGCTTGCTACACATACATACGTAAAGTCCTCGCGCTTGGGGCCGGATCCCCACCTTGATAATTCTCAGAAGAAAGGTGAACGGTGGGGCGATCCTAGCACTGTTTGCTGTTCTGTGTGCATGTGTGTGTTGAGACTTCAGCCCCTCTTTTCTCTCTCTTTCTCGTCAGTATACCTGCTACATTCGAAGGATTCGGTAACGTTTTTCAGACAGCAGCAGTAGTAGCTCGCTCTTTCTCTCTCTCTCTCTCTCTCTCTCTCTCTCTCTCTCTCTCTCTCTCTCTCTCTCTCTCACACTCTCTAACTCTCTTTCTCTCTCTCTCAGGGATGCCAGACTACCAGTTACATCGCCAGCAGTAGCAGATTTGCAGAAAAGTCCAGTAGCCCTGGATGGGTTTGAATTCAGTCCACGTTGTTTATCAGCTAATCGTGACTAGATCCACACTCATCCAAGGATGTTGGACCGATCACCGACGTCGTCGCAACTCTCTTTTCGGTGTGCTCCGAAATCGTTATTTTTGCTCTTCGTCTTGTCGCCGAGGCAACTACCGTTCGCCGACAGCCCATTGTACGCGCACGTTTTCGGCCGCGATGATTTTGTAACGTACTTTTTGGAGTCAAATAATATAAACAAAGTTTTCACGACGACAAAATTTGCAAGTATTTCAATGTCCATCTGATTCTCTTTCAGCGAGTAGCGGCTACAACGAAAGTTTGGATCGAAGCTAATGGCTCCGGGATTTCTTTAGGTTTCTTTGTGTCAGAACACCTGCCGCGTTCCTTCCCCCAATCTCACTCCATCTCTTTCTCTCTTTTTCTCCAATGGGCCTCTCGCATCTCTCAGCCCTTATAGCTTCTATTCGCCTGCGTCTTTTCTCTCTCTCTCTCTCTCTCTCTCTCTTTCCTCCTGCGCTCCTCTTTCTCTCTCTCCAGGCGTGCACTCAACTCTTTCTCTCTCTTTCTCGTGCGCGCGCGAGCATAGTGGAGCGTCCTTTCTTGAACGTTCCCAAATAACGGTAAAAATCCTCCGTCCTCCGTGAACTCACTCAAGCAATTGTCCGCACGCTACCGAGCTACCTGCAGGAGCTCGAATCCGCGCAAACTCTTTGTGATATATGAAGCTTATATATTTTTAACTTTGCTCGCAAATGCGCGGCCGATTCACTTATATTGTCGCTCCTGTGAATCTGCGATCGCGCTATACCCACACATTTATTCGTCCGTTTTGTCCTCGAGAACAAAGGAATCATATCCGAACGCTCCCTGCTATTAAAATATTCTTGAATTGATCTCGCACATTTTGCTCAAAACGGTTACAGTGAAATAATTATATTTTGTTCTTTTATAAATTTTTATTTATACCCATTACAGTCACTTTCGCAATAATTCACGAGTGTTTCTGATTGATGCGCACGCTTAGGTGCGCGTTTATTTTCACGATACAAAATAAATTTTTATACAAGTATATGCTACAGCAGCTCTTTGCGCAAAGATATAAGACATGGAAATAATTGTCAAAGACGTTTCATAACCGTATGATCATATAAGAGATCGTAAATCATGGTACTCGAAGCGCCTGTGCGTGAAACTTAACGTCATAAATACATAGTTTTTATTAGATTTTCACTTTGTTGATTATAGAGAGCAAAGACGACCCTTCTTTCGTCTAAATAATTATCTAAGGTCTTATACTTATTCTACTACCATCTTTTCTTATTAAAAATTATTTTTATAATACAATAAAATGAAGTAAAATTAATTCTTTGATGGGATCTCACTTAACAAATAATTTTAAGTTACTATTAAAAAATAATTCTATGGCTAGTCAAAATCTTTAAAGAATCATATGTATATCAAAAAAATTCCTACTAAAACATAACAATTTTTTTATAATTTTTTACAGAAAGGTTTCGCGTTGTTATTAGTAACGAAGCATTTGTTCATTATAAATACAATGATAGTTTGCATGTGCATCTTTTTTCAATGCATTCACTTATTACTAAAAATATTATTATACCGCGATAATATTGTACACAGCATGGTTTTAATTTATATGTGTTAAATATAATTTGCGATTGTTTGTATAAGCACTCTGTTCGATCACGTGAGAATATAGAACCAATCAATAACGCTCGCATTGTATAGGAGTATTTTTCAATAACTAAATGCATTTATTTTGTAAATAAATTTTAGTATAGAATATAATTTTTTCATTGATACGTACTGGTAATAAAAACTATTCAAATGCAAATGATGGTTATTATTATAGTTAGTCAGTATTTTTCATTTGTTGGAAGTAAAAGGCCTTTACAACATTATAATTTTATCTTAACTGAACAGATATTCAAATAAAGATTTTCTAAAGTTAAAATTTATATTATTATGAAAAACAAAATAAAATTTAAATAAACTTTGAGAGTATAATATTGTACATTGCTTAGTGTCGGCAAATCTGAAACTAAAACTATTAACAACTTCGGCAAGTTAAACCAATAAATCATAATGATTGCACAGCCAGAATTGCGTCTAAATGGAAAAATATATCAGCACTATTGAATAAAAAAGTACTGAAATTAAAAAAAAAATAAAAATTTATGAATTCAAAAATAAAATATATTTTCTATGACTCCCGTGAAATAACCGTTTTAATTTGCACTGGCAGACAAGTAAAGATCGAGACTGTATCAAGTGCCCTGTGTCTGTTCCATGCTGAGTTGCGCGAATTTCGTGTGAATCACTTCCTCCTGCAGTGAGAACTCGGAAGTATTGTTGGCGCAAGTACTGGCCGAAGAGGAATTATTCTCGGACAACAGATTGAACTCTTCGAGCACCTGTCGGATTAACTGGTGTAATTCGGCAGCAACGCGTTTTATCGATTGATGTTTTTCTTTGATCTCAACGGCGCAACAAAGTAGACCATCCCAGGATGCAGCGGCATTGTGTCCCAGGTAAAGTTCACGCCAGAGTTCGATGCTCACAGGTGCTACACTCGGCCAGATTATGCCAGGATTAGATTCGTATAGCAGATTTGTATACTTCTCTAATACATTTGGTTGGTTCATGTATGACCATAAGCTACAAGTACGCTCTTGTACTTTAAGACGACTTCTCTCGCATTCCGAATCACCTGTATTCAAAATATATATGGTTTTGAAAAGTGCATTCACAGCTGTAAGCTCGTAGCATTCAAGTTACGTTAAGCAATGTTTTAAAGACTTTTGAACGAATTAACAACTTCTAAAGTTGCATATTGAAAAACATTTACCTAGAAACGTGCCATAGTTTGAAGAATACTCATGTTTGAAGATTTCAGTAAGTAGTTCAGTTGTATACTCAAAGCTCATCTGAAATTGGAAATGTAACTGGTAAAGACAGTCTAGAAAGAGTAAGAACGTTGGAGCATCCGACGAGTTTTGAGTGTAAGTGTAATAGGCTCCGTGACGAGTTCTAGTATAGAACGGGTGACCAGCTTGCAACCATTCGCGCTCTATCAAAGCTTGCAAGCCTCTGATTGTTCGGCTATCTGGATTCAAAATTACTTGCACTAAACTGGTTACTACTAGCGTGAGATCACGTCCGGTACCACCTGCAAATTTTAGTCTTATTATTATAATTCTAGCTTGAATTGTTCATAATGCTGACGAAAAATGGAATAGTTCATACCATGAACTAAGACAGCTGTCCGTTCTTGTTCAAGACATTGAGCTGTCACACACGCTGTATTCATGGCATCTTGAACTGCTGATAGCCATTTGCTATTATCTAGTTTGGATAGCCACTGTGAGGTAGAACAGCTAATATCATTACATACTTCCATTAACTTTGAAAAACTTTCTAATAAATCAGTAGTTCTTGGAATTGATTTGTGCGATTTGAGCCATTGCGGATAAGCAGAATCAATTTCAGTACCTCCACCTTTTGTTTTTGCATTCTGTGCTTGTGAGAAACTTCTAGTATCTACAATAACTCTGAAATGAGATCATAAAAATCGAATATAAAAAAATGAAGTGATAATGAAAAATATATTACTATGATTATATACCCTCTTTTTCCTGGTCTTAAGTATGCATTCAGTAGCATTTCATCGCCTTTGCATCTTTTTCCTGTGGGTCCGCACATTGGTTGACTACTTCTAATTAAAATACCCTATAAAGTTTCATGATTATCATGTGATACTTATATTAAAATTCCATTGGAAAGCATTATTATGAGAGGATAATCTTTACCCCTCCATTATGTCTGTAACACAGTACTGGGAATCTTCCACTATCTCTAAAATTAGCTGATGAAACTATAATTTCATCTTCTATATTTTTAGGTACTATAATAGCTGCAGGATATGAATTACAAACTTTGTAATCTTTATTTAAATGACTAATACGCCATTCATCTCCTTTAATTACTAATAATTCTGTCCACTCAGAAAGAGGTGGAAATAATTTCCATCCATCTTCCATTTGTACTTTTGAATTAGTAAATAATTGTGGTCTGTAGAAAAATGGATATTGCATTGTTTGATCTAAAAAAAAAGAGTTGATGTGTTATTTATAATTATTTTTTTTGTTTGTGTTTCACCATTACCCAAGCAAGATAATTTTTCTATAGTTTGCGCTACTTTCACTAATTCATTTGTAGAAGTAAAGTCTAGTTGATAAATATGAAAATCCTTGCATTTTAATATTATGCTACCTCCAGGAATTTGGTTGTTGCCCTTTTTCTCCATTGCATCGATGTTGCGATATAAAAGCTGAAATAAACATGTGTTTTGAATACAATATTTGATAATGCTTATCATCTTACATGCATTATTGATGCTGAATGTGAGTAAATATAAATATTTATATTAAATGAAAAATAAGAAATTATATTAGTTTGAAAATAAAACTTGAATGTAAAAATATAAATTAATTGAACTGAATTTAAATGATTTTGAAAATGTTGTAAATTTATAATTTACCAACCCATAACTCTTGTTCATTGCCTTTTTGTCTGTCTGAAAGAATAAGATGATGTCCACTAATGCATAATGTACCTTCTATTTTGCACTGTTTAGTCCTTTCTTTTGTTTTGTCAGTTAGCACTACATTGTCCACACGGGGTATTGATATTAACTCAACAAATTCCATTGTTATATCAGCAATCACTTAAATATCAATACTATTCGTTGGCAAAAATGCCAATAGCTAACAGTACCTTGACAGATAATTCTAACCTACTATGAATAACCAATGTTTTGGACGGCTGTCAGCTTCAGATTGCCTGCATTGTAGTAAAGTATCTTCTCATTGCGTTTGCTTATTTGGAGTTCTAGAGTACATCAATCACAAGTATGTATTAAAATAATAACTTTATATCTGCTTTAATGCTTAGCCGCTTGATAATAGTAATGAAAGTTTTCACTTTCATAAATTTGAATTAATAGTTCAATAAAGATAGTACATGAAACTCGATACATTTTTTTACGATTTCATACAATATGATCAATATTTTTGCACACTGTTTTTTGTGCGTAATTGGTTGTATAAATAAGAAATCGAATGTTAATTAAATTAAGTAGGTAATTAATAAACTTACAGAATTATCATTTTCTGAAAGTAGCGATAAATATTATTGAAAATGATCAAATGTAACTTTTTATTTATGCGCATGCTCCAAAGGAGTTATAGCAGACTAAATGTTTTGATTCTTGAACAAAGTGGGAGTGTGTATTACTTATTTGTGACATTAATTTCGTTTATATACATGTAATTTTTCTTGCAAAAAAGAAAACAAACACATCGATTCATTCGTCAAGTACGTTGAGCAAGTGATCAGCACATAGTTAAACAACGTGTAAGATTATCATTTGCCAGCTTATTTTATGCTATATTATTATATTTCAGCGAAAACATCATTTTCGCCCATAGCTTTGCGCACGCGTGTTTTACGTATCTGCAAAAATAAAATTGCACATTATTTTTTCTTTTTTACTATAAACTTGTACGTTCAATATCACTATCAGCAAAGATATTTATAATAGTTGTTTTTTAGGTATAAGATGACTTATGGATCTAACCTAATTTTTTATGGCAATGAAAAGTCAATGGGATCAAGTGAAACTACAAGCTTTACGAATTTTGGTATCTCAAGAACGATAATTGAGGTATATACTATTTAATTTAAAAGTAAATATTAACATAAATCAAATATTTTATTTTCCTTGTATAACAAGAAACTAACCTAGAAAGATTTGGTTATTAATTGTAATAAATAGATTCTTTGTTTTATATGTATTAATTGTCATCTATAAGTTGAGGTGCTTGTAATTAGTAATGTGATACTGCTTATTTGATTCTACATGTGAACGAAATTGATAAAAAACATTCACCAAAAGTTGAGAATTTAGAATTATGATAACAAAGTTATGGAACATTTTTTTTTGTGTTATATTTAATCTAAAATAAAAGTATTTCTATTTGTTATACGAAAATGCAAATGAAATTTTAAAATAAATTATGAATTATACGATAATTTATGCGGAGAAAATTAAAGACTACAAATTTTATTTTTCTATTAATTCAGTATTTGCATTGAGTTTTTTTCTCGTTATAAATACTCGTATCTGGTATCGTAATCAAATTAAGAGTCGCAGAAAAAATTACTTAATCAACTAAATGTTACCACTATATTTAATTCACTTAATGTTGAAATGATACTATTTTGATTTGTTTATTAATACCCATATCAAGTGCAATACGTTAGATGATTCGAAACATTTATAGTCAATCTGAAGTAGAGAAATCGGATCATGATTTCGAATGAAATTACCGATTTTTAATATAAAACATTTGTAGAAACCTGACTGAGAACTATATTTTATAATATATATTAAATATTATCTTTTATAATATAGAAAAGTAAAAATGTTTGTTTAATTATATTCAAATTACGGAATGTAGGTAAAAATAAAATATTGTTTTTTTTATTTTATCGAAATTTGCTTTTTTTATATATATACGTATATTGTCAAGTTATTAAAACATTCAATTATAATTTTCAGGAAAAAATGCAGCCAAAGTATGAAACTGATAAAGAGATAATCACCGCAGATGGGGTCTACGATGTTGTTACACTAGCGTCAAGGTTCGGGGGCGGCGACTCGGTCGCGAGATGGAGGCACCGATCGCTAATGCCTAGCCGAGTAACTTCGGGGAAGCAACAAAGACAGAGCTATTGGGCCATTGGGGTCGCAATACATCGTGCACCGCTGCCACTTCTGATTACCAAAAAGACTTGACCAGCGTAGTCTAATACTCTTAAAAGTGGAAACAACTATCTAAAACTTGACAAGGTTAACTTAATAATTACATTTCAGTCGTATTTGTCACATTTGACATCGAAAAGTTAAACATGTGCATTCGCAGATTTATATTTGTGCTTCATGATGATATGGTGCTGGGGCAACCTTGAGTTTGGAGAAAGGTAAAATCAGTGCTGTTGACCCTCTACCAAGTTGGAGACATGCATCTACAACTTATTTTTTCAATATGCATCATCTTTACATATATTTGCCTTATTTATTCTTGTTTTGTTATTGATACTAAGACAAACAAAGATTGAAGATAATTAATTGATATTTACTTTTCTTAACTGACTTTTCTTAACTGTACTTTCTACATGTTATTTTTAAAACCACACAAAAGTTTTCTAGACTCACTCAATTTACTCAAATAATTTTGTTGTTACACGCAAAAAAAATTCGTGCTTTCAATGTTTATGAAGGTTGAAATGTACTCAAAAAGTTCAAGAATATGATTATATTTTATTTTTCTTTCATAAATTATTAATTAAAATAGATTAATTTAATATCGATGACAAGATTGATTAGGATAAAATAAATTCTACATATATCACTTTTGTAAAACAAGTATATTTGCAGAACTTGCTAAAAATAAAGTGTTAATGTAATGATAAATCGAATAATACTGTAGTTTTGTTGGATGAAATTTGACATTTATGAGATAAATTATATCTACCTTTGTGAGTAGCAGTAATATAAAATGTTTAAGATTAAAATATTAACAAATTGACCTGAAATAACAAAAGCTTCTGCTAAGCTACTTAATGTTGGATATTTGGTAATTATGTGCTCAGCTAATTTGTGCTCTAAAAACAGCTTTAGGAAAAACATGTAACGAACTTCCAGATCACAACTTATGTATTTAAGATGAATACTTGTACTAAGGTCATGCTTGGCATTGTTAACTGATAAAAAGAGTCAACTATGTACTCCTGCAAAATGATTTGATTTCTGAATTTTAGTATAAATATTGTCAAATTGATACTCTTGTAACATAATATACAGTTATATGAGAATGATAGGGGAAAGTATTGCCCTCTGTGTTGAAGTAGTCCAACTATAAGCTCATTGTAAAGTTGCACAAAAAAGAACTCCTAGTTAAATTTTCTAAAATTGAAAACCATGAAACATTATCAGTACTTTTTTTTTGTTTTGGAATACTATGTATTTGACATAGAAGTTAAACATATTATTTAGGTATATTTACCCAAAGTTTGCAATGTGATCCATCTTTGTAAATTGTAGCATCAGGTTAATCTATATATTATACCATAGGTATAACTAGTGAAATATCAAATAGCATCAGTTGATCAAGAGTTTATTAATATTGTACTGCTGTTTATTTATTTTTTCAGATATTACAATATCGAGTTGTAAGCAATGGAGTCAAATGAAAACAGTGAGAAGAAAACATTGGATGCTTCCAATGCAATGGAAATAGAAGAGCCAAATGTACAAGATAAAAGTGAAAAGCAATCAAAAGGGACAAATATAGAAAAAGTGATAGCAAAACAAGATAAAGCAAGTGAAAGTAAAGATATTACAAGTATAAAGTCCAATGATGTTGAAAATACACCTGCAGAATCTGAAAAATTGGATGATGGAAAAATCAATACTCCATCAAATGCAGCAGAGGGAAAAAAGGATAATGAATTACCTTCTAATGGTCCAAAGATTGTAAAAGATACAGATAATGTGCAAGTGGATACACCTACTCCAGCTGTTACACCTGTAGCATCAAAAGAAGGAAAAAGGAAGCGTAAAAGTACAAAGTGAGTTTTCTATTTATTTTAGCAATTATTCTGATTTTATTCCACTACATACTGAGAATGAATGTAATAATAGCAGTAATTTATAAAAGCAAGTCTGATTAAATAAACAATATTCACTATGTATCATGATAAGGTCTGTGTGAAATAATTTGATAGTAGAGGTCATTATGTAAGAGAGAGAATGTATTATATATAAAAATTATCTTGACTGTGAATTAATTCTATAGCTAGATGTAACAATTTGAAAGGGCAAGAAACAAGGGTATTAAAAGCATGTTTATATAAACTAATACACTGCAAGTGACCTTCAACTATTTTTACAATGTGCTCAATTTTTTATACTCCAGAGAGTGCATTATTGGTTTCAATTAAACTTAAAATTGAGATTTCAGATTAGGTAACATAAAGTCCGTTTTATCCAAATATTACAATTGTTTTAAAAGGTCTACTTTAATTATTTATGATTGAGGCATGTTAATACAAGTTTAACTCAACATATCTCTAAAGGAAAAAGAATTTGCAAAATAAGATTTTAACACGAACCGTCGTGTTCTGAAAAAAAAAATTATCAAAATCTCATGAAAATGCCGCAATAATAAGAATTTTCGTGATATCGCTAATGCAATCAATTTGTCTACGCAGTCCGTCGCCAGAAACGACCGTGGCCCCGACGCCAGTGCCGCAGTCAGTAGCTGTAGCGGCAGCGGAAGAACAAAATGGCAGCAACGTGGGCAAGCGAAAGAAAGCCGACAGAAACTGCGACAAGTATTGTTGGCGCTGCCACAAGGAATCGGTGGAAATGCAATGTAGCGCGTGTCCGAGATCATGGCATCGACGATGCATGGGTGGTGCACCACCATTATCCGTTAACAACTGGATATGTGGTGAATGCGTATCTATCCTCCAAGCTGAAAATGCCGAGACGCGTTCACCAGTGATGGCTGACCTTACTGTCGACCAATTATGCATGATGCTTAGGCATGTCGTCGAGAGGATGAGGGATCAGCATGGGGTACGATTACCCCTTATTTTCTTATCTAGACACGTATAATGCCACTTAAACGTAATTCATCCCGACCGTTCATTTGAACTGTCATTTGATTAACGTGATTATTTCTTAAAACAATTTTCTTTTTAGCTGCGATTAAAAATACCTTTCTTAATTGCTTTTTGACTGCTTATATTAATTGAACTCTATGAATTATTGGATAAAATGAATTTTTTTAAAGACAATATTATTAATAAATTTTTCGTTTAGTCTGAGCCTTTCTGGAGAGCTGTTGATCTTGATGATGTTCCTAACTACTTAGATTACGTGGTAAAACCAATGGATTTGAACTTACTTGAGTCTAATGTCCGTGCCAAATTATACGGTAGTACTGATGCATTTATGGCTGATGCTAAGTGGATCCAACACAATTGTATAGTTTTTAACACATGTAAGTTTAAGGCGATTATACTAAAGCTTTTAACGTTTTATGCGAACGTTAAATTTTTCATTATCACAAACTATTTATCACAAATGATAATAATCGATCCACGATGTTTTGCACAGATACATCGAAGCTTACAAACACAGCAAAACAAATGTTGAAGATTGCGAGACAAGAGGTGTCCGAAATCGAAACATGTCCAGACTGTTTTGCACGCGGTCGCAATTTACCTCGGCCTTTATCATCCTGGTTTATTGAGCCTTGTCGCAAACCTCATCCAATCGTCTGGGCTAAACTCAAAGGTTTCCCATTCTGGCCCGCCAAAGCAATGTCTAGATTGAACGCACAAGGCTTGGTTGACGTAAGATTTTTCGGCGAACATGATAGAGCTTGGGTGTCGCCGAAAGATATCTACCTGTATTCTCAAGAGCCTCCAGCACAGTTACCTAAAAAAAAAAAATTGGAAATGGAGCAATGTGTTATTGAAGTCGAGGAGCATATTCAAAAGCTTAAACAAATTGTTGGAGAATTTAGGTGAGCTTGCAACGAATTTTTGTTCCCTTTGATTTTGGTTTTTGTTCTCTAATTTGTTCTCTTTGTTCGTATTTAGGTATTCATCACCGAAAGTTCCCTATGATCCACATGATCCTATGCAGATACAAAAATTGCTACCTGACTATGATCCATCTGGAAAGACAAAGAGTAAAACTGTAAAAACTGACACAAATAAACAGCAAACTCCAGTACAAAGTCCAGTCACTAATAAGGTGACATCGCCCAAGACTGAAAAGAAACCTCCGATTTCTAAGAATCTCATGGTTTCCAGTACAAATGGCATTATTAAAACTCCTTCTGTAGAAAAACGCAAATTCGATAGAAAGAGAAAATCCGTGGAAACTGTTCAGGAAGCTGTAAATAAAGTGAGTCCGGAGGCGCCATCAGAAATTGTAATTAATAATAAGAGCAGAAGTAAAAGTCCGCCTGCTATACCAGCGCTTACTAATAAAAGTATAAGTGATAATGGCAGTACTAGTAATTCGGAATCGAGAAAAAATAATAAGTCACCAGAAGTAAGTGTAATAGAAGTAACTAATGATACTACTCCTAAGAGAATTATTACAGCTGTAAGGAAATTGAAAAGTGATAACATTAAGAAAATAAAACTAGTGAAAAATCACGAAAAAGAAGAAATCAAGAAGGCAATTACTGCACCCAAAAGTACTAATAGCAATCAGACAAATCTTATAAAAGTTTATCGTCCTGTTAATAATCTGCAAAATAATAGTGATGCGGCAAACGATGTCAGCCCCAGTAAAAAATCAAAAACAATATACATACAGTCAAAGGCACAAATGACAGGTACCGCCACAAAAATTGTAACGAAAAATGTTTTAGCGGATCATAAAGTGGTGGGTAAAGCTTTGTTCAAATCAGCTTGTAAAGATGGCCCAAGAATTATTCTAAATAGCAGTCAGAAAATCTTAAAAGACGGTACGCCAAACAATAAACCGATGACTGCAATACCCATATCCGCAAGGAAAGACCAGACAAAAGCAATGTTTCTTCAATTAAATTCTAGTGCATCCGAATCTGCAAGACATTTCAGCGAAAAAGAGGCGCGATTAAATGTGTCGATGCCTGTAATCAAACAAGAACCAAAAGATGACGTGGTGCAACCAAAGGTAAAGAATCATTAGTTATTAAACTTCTATACTCGACTAGAAATACAAAATATTTAAATAAATTTTTGGAATTACTTAACAGTTAACAATCACAAGGAAACCTGGTAAAGCACGAAAATCTCTTCCAAATAAACCACCTGTTTTTCCACAAGTGGTAACATCTACGCCGTTACGTTCGGTGGCGAAGACAAGCTCTACTTTGAGTGATGCTATGACACACATTCCTCCGGCAAGTGCTGAAGCACGTGCAAGTTCGTCTGAATTGCCTCCACCTGAAGCTGGCCCAGTCAGCGCTAAAATCCACGACAGTTCGAAAGAACTTGCAAACCGTATGGCTGAACTTATTGTAGAAACGATAAAGAGTACGGCGGAAAATGGTGAACTTAGCATCAATAATACCGTCAGCAATCATGAAGCAACAATACAGTTGCTGAAACTCAGGATAGAACGATTAAAATGGGAACATCAACAAGAAATTGCTGAGATTAGGCATAATAACGGTAAAGTTGTTTATACTTCTTTCTCAAATATCCTTCTTTCTCAAATATCCTTCTTATTAACTTTATGCATATACAAACAGTTTTAGAAGTTGAAATTTTAATGAAAATTTTTAAACTTGTAAAAATAATCGAAGCTTAAGTCATAGAAAATATATGTTATCTTTCACTTTTTAAAGAGCTTTTAAAACAAAGATACAAATTTTCCTATAAAATTACCTTCTATATTATTGAAGGTGTACAGAAGAAAAAAATTATTCAATAATTATAATAATTCATTTCAATTCTAAAATAGAAGTGACTTTTCAGATCTAGTAATACGCGAGATGAAAACAAGTATGGATTTTGAACGATTTCGAGCTCTACAAGAGGCCAAGCGCGAAGCAGAGCTAGAGAAACAACGTTGCATCGAGGAAACAAAACGTAAGCAATGGTGTGTCGTATGCGGTCGTGAGGCAATGTTCTATTGTTGCTGGAATACTGCATACTGCGACTACCCTTGTCAACAAAAACACTGGTCTTCACACATAGCTACTTGTGCTCAAAAATCACAAAAGAGCAGTAGTAGTAGTAACACACCATCCACGCAGCAACAAAAACCGCCACAGCAACAGCCTAAGCCGGTCAGCGAGACCACGGCAAACGGCCAGCAGGTGATGCCCAAACTTGTGATAAATAAGAAGTCGTAAGAAAATGCTTACAACGCATTTTTCTCAACTACTCAAATTTTGTTACCTCTCTCTCTTTCTCTCGACCTCCTCTCCTCCGTCCCTCCTTCAACCCTCACTTTTTATTTTGTTTTATCAATTTGACAACTGTTATTGTCCGATAAAGTATTAAGATTGGGAATAAAACTGATCAATAGTTTATTTCAAAAATTTTTTAATAACATTGTTACATTAAAAAAAATTTGAATATTAAATTATAAATTTTTCAAAATTTCTTTGAATTGAAATTAATACTGCTTCAATATAATATGATCGGTTTTATTGATATTATTTATCATTTCATAATCCTATAAATATGTAAGATAATACGTAATGCAAATCTATTTACGTTCATTTCATTGTAATTTTTTTGAAGATTACTGAAGAAATACTGCATTTTATTAATATTTAATTCAAAAAATGCTAGTTTTACGATTAGGTTAATCTACTCGAACTTATAAAATTTAGATTTTTGTATTGTCATCATCCAATAAGCACAGTTTTAAGATTTAGAAAACTATACAATCTCCTAATTTTAATTAATTGTTACTTGTACTCTTACCTCGTATTACATTTAAAATGTACATACATTTATTAGTAAAAGTATTGTAAGCTTATTTAATTTTTAAATAAAAAGCAATATTCCTATCTAAATAAATAATTTTAGTAAATTAGATAAATTTTATATTTTGTAGTCCAATACTATTGTTATTAGTATTCATTACTATTAATAATAAGTAATTGTGGCTCGTATAAACGTTTGCTTTTTATTAAGTATTCAATATTTTGAATTATCAAACTCTCATTCCTTTATTATAAATCCTTCATCAAACAATATTTGGTTTCATTTTGTTAATTACGTATTAATTCAACTAGAATTTAAACTTCTTGTTAAGTTTACATAAGGAGATATGAATAGACAAACAAGTATCTTACAATTTTTTAATTTCTATTATTCAAAATAAAAAATTCATTTAAAGCCGTTCTTTGACACGACAAAAAAATTAATGAGCTGTTAACACTAACTATTACAAGTTAAGTTTTTTTAACAGTTCATTATTATCCTCACAATTCCAATAGAATTCATTACATTCCTCAATTAAAGTTATCATTTTAATTTTTTGAAATTCAATATTTTTCAGAATGGTAACATCAGTGACGAAATTCGATTACCAACAGGCTCTGTGTAAATTAGCTGACATCAAAACCATAAATATTTCAGTTATAAATACCATCGTCATATCGTTGTTAATCCGTTTTATTTAAAATGTACAGTATAGCTGATAATTATTATTATAGTGCTAAATTTTGTATTGAAGTCGCTACTGTTTTGTAACAATTTATTCATAATCTTATGTTAAAATAAGTTTTATGAACTCATAAACGTTCTCTCAAAATGTGATTGTATTTATAATAAAAACAATAAATTTTTTTTTATGTACGCGTTTTATTAAATTTCATTATACAAATTACTTCGCCTTTTTACTCTTAATCTTCCTCAAGTAGAACTCAAGTTCTTTGCCTTCAAGAATGTAACCGTCTGCTCTACCACACTGTCCAGGTCTGCTGGCAATGCAAGCTGAAAATAAACAAATATACAAATTGTCAAATTCACAAAATTTCGTATTATAAAAATTAACTTAAATTGATATCTTTAGTTTTCAAACTAGTACATTACTTTATTTATACAAAATGCGTTATTTTAATAAAAACTTACAGATCAAGCCAAAAACATAAGCTAAATAGTACATTATGCAACGAGTGCGCAAAGTAGGTGATTCCCGCACGCGTGAGTTTGTTAATGCACGTGTGCTATCACCTTATTTGCGCACGATAGTAGGAAAAAGATTATTTTTGACACAAGTTTTATAACAGAATTTAGTTGATAAAATTGAATATAAGTTATAGTTATAATTATTTGAAAAGTATTTTGAATCATAAATATGTGAAGTTTATCTTCTTGAATTAATTTAATTAAATGTGTATTGTACTGACTTTTTGAATATTTTGTCATCTACTCACCAAGAACTCTTCCAGTTGCAAACTGATCTTCAAGACCTTGTTCTACTTTAGCAACACGTTGTCTAGCCTTGTACTTGGCTTGGGCTTTTTTGGACCTTTTTTTGTTCAAAACTTCCTCCTCAGCATCAGTCTGCAATTAAAAAATGGAATAATGACATACTTATTAATTATTAAGAATACTATTGAATAAAAATTCAGAAAGCTATGAGAATATGTCAACATTGCACTTAGAGTAATTAAATGCGATAAAGTCGGCATTTAATAATTTCTTTCATTTCATAAATTAAATTAGATAATTATAAAAAATTAAAGGAAATATTATGCTTTCAATATATTAGTTTAAAATTTATGTAATTAAAATTACCTACCAATGTTAACAAGAAAAATTTCTAGTTATAAATTAGAACTTTAAGAATAAAAAATAATAAAATATGTAAAAAAAATGAACAACTAAATTACTATCTAAGATTTGATTAATTTAGAAAATAATTATAAAATAATTCTATCTTACCAATTTGGCTCCTCGTTTGCGTCCCAAAGGAAGAGCATAGTGTGCTTCGTACCACTGTCTAAAAGGTGTTGCATCAATAGTAACAATGGCATTTTTAACCAAAGTCTTGGTTCTGACCAACTCATTGTTTGATGCATTGTAAACAACATCAATGATACGGGTCTTACGTGCCCTACCTTCTGATCCCCAAGCAAAGTTACCAGTGTCAAGACGAAGGGCTCTGTATTTCTTATTACCTCCCCTAGTGCGTACCTTAAAAAAATACACTCCATTAGAAATGTCTAAAAACATTAAATAAATTCATTTATGTGCTTAAAACTTCAGTACGCTGTGGGAATTTGGCAGCATGGCATTCAGAGTAGGTAAGGAATCATCATGTACAGTATATATTTTTATTAATTATAAACTTTGAAAGCAAATCTCTGTCTTCTATCATATTTTTATAGTAAATAAAACGAAAGAAATGATATATATTTTAATAGCACTTACAGTGTGAATACGCTGAGGTCCAAGTTTAGTGTTTGCAGCAGGTCGACCTAACTCAAACTTCCTCTTCTTACGGAGTGGCTTCCTCTTGCCACCCGTTGCTCGCCTTTTATGCCAATGATCACGAGAGATACCTATAAAATGAAACATATAACTTATAAATTAATATTATCGAAGCCATGTACATTTGGTGCATCATAACAGTACGATTGTTTTTCTGAAATTTTTTTATATTTTGAAAATAAACGTGAAAGCAAAAGAGAATAAGTACATTTTAGAGTTAATAAATTAAGCTTCAACTTATCACCAATAAATAAAAAAAATTAAAAAGTAGATGTATGGCAGGTATCAAAATAGTTGGTTGTGTCAGGGGTTAAGTGATGCCGCTGACCGAATTTTGTAAAAAAATGTAAATATACAAATTAAAATATGTCGAGCAAGGATTTTAGAATCTTCTTATCGTTATTTTTTCCAATACTTAATCATACTGACACGGATGCTTAAGGATTTGCAATAACATCTATGAAATATTGTAACTTACCCATCGTGGATGAGATAGAAAAGGGGCAACATCAATCGCGAACGAGCGTATAAAACTAGATGGCTCATGATATTCATGTTCCGGACTTTTGGAACTTCCAACATTTTTGTAATACAGCGCCATCTTTCATTTGAAATAATTATATTCAAACTTAATAAATAATATATTTTCTTAATAAATTATTCAGTAATTAAAACATTAATTTACTATTTGTTTATTAAGTTATTTAATCTTACATTGTAACATTATTTAAATAAACGAGTTTGATCTACAGGAAGCGAACTAAAAATATCGTTTAAAATATTTGATTTTAGATCCTGTTCGGAATGTAATTTTATTAAAATAAATATTTTATTGATAAAATATCATTAAAATCAGTATAACTTGTAACTTAAAATATCCATCGTGATTTGAAAAAATTGAAATTTTTACTAAAAATATACAATAGAATAAAATTAATGCTGAAATAAATATCCTATTCAAATAAATATGTATTATAACATTGATATTATTTGTAATATTCTACTTTCATGGAACATTTCATCTTCATATTGTAGTTATTGCTGATGTTGTAATTCAATTTGCGAACAAAATCTTCAACTAACATAGCCGGTTTGTTATTCATAGTAGTCTCATTCAATATGTTCTTCTGAATGTTATCATGAAGTTTTTTACTACTAAAAATGCGATGATGTTCTTCGTATTCTATATTTTCTTTCCATGGAGAATACTGAGTTTGCAATGAAAGTTTTGAATTCTGTAATGGAACTGAATTTTCATTGCTATTTCGATAGATTTCATTAAAATTTTCTAAAGAATTAACTTGGCTACTATTTTCATTTTCTTTTACGAAAGTTGAATCCAAAGAAATACTAGATTTTTTATCACTGCCATACACAAAATATTGTGGTGGTGATGGTCTAAAACGGACAGTAGTACTTTTCATTGGAGAACTAATTGTATTTTTGTTTTTAGGAACATTTGAATCCATTGTATTTTTGAGCATTTGAGCATTTGAACTAATTGTATTTTTGAGAGAAGTTTTCCAGCCAACACTTGAATTTTTGTTTGTAAGATTCTTATATTCTGGGCTAAAGTAAATTGAAGTGTTATCAATAGATTGGATGCTATCTTCACCAGAATCTGAATCATGTACTGCTATATTAGACCTGAAAAATAATAGAAAGTTGCTTCAAGTAATTTATAAATTTTTCAAAATATATATAATTTTTAAGATGCCCTAAGATAAAATTATTGTGTAATTCTATTAATGAATAAAATACCTTATAGATTTACAAGAAGGAGGTTCTGTAGGGTTTGAATGAGTAGCAGCATCCATCCAACTACTAATATGTCCTGGTGTATAATATTTGTTAGGTGCAAGAGTACATAATTTTTTAACTTTTGTCCTGGTTGAATTAGAATGTATATTGACCCAATTTGGATTAGTAGTTGCTGAAAATGCAGGAGTATAATTTCCTGTTGTTTTCCAGGCTGGATAAGCTATCTTATTATATTGGTTTCCTTGTATAAGTGTTTTAATTGATGATTTAAATTGATTATAATCTTTCCTTGCTGAAGGGATAATTAATGATGAAATTTGATTATAATCGTCATTTGGTGAAACGATTCTTGATATAAGTTGATTATTATTATTATTCGATAAATTAGTAGTTGATCTACACATCTGTTTTGATGAATCCATCATCCTTTTCTTAAAATTGTTTATAACAGCAAGAGTATTCTCAACAGTTTTAGTCATACCTCTTTTTCTTCTATTTTTAGGAGGAGGTTTTTTAAATATATCCTTAATAGGACTAAGGTCTGGATATTTTTTCCTAATAAAACAAGATAACATTTTATTAGAAATTGATCATTTATTCTAAAATTCAACTTTAAAATTAAGCGAAACTTTTAAAAAGTACATAGGTTACATTCTTAGGTACTTTTAAAATTTACACAAAAATGTAATATCAAATCGGTTGTAAAATATGTGAAAAGGAAAGTAAAGTGCGTTAAAGCTCAAAAAGTATTTTTTCGATCTATAAAAGTATTAAAAATGAACTCAAATTTTTTCAATTAATCAACAAAGTCGTCGAAATTACTTAAGATTTTCTTGTTTTTTAAAATCTTCTCTAGCTTTCTTCAAAATATCCTCGAAAAGTTCATCGATATCGTCTATATCTTCTCCAAAAATTACATCGTAATCAGAAATTCCAGAGGTGCTTTCATTTTTTTCGTTACTACTAGCTGGGCTATCATTTTTTGGTTTTGTTGTGGGGAAATTCATTTCCAGTACTTTTTCAAGAATGCTTCTTTTGTCGATTTCGACAAGTTCTTTGAATGAAACATTTTCAGAAGTATTTTTGGTAGTCATATTGATTACCTGAAACAACAAAGGTAAATTTAAATACGTTGATTGCAAAAGTAATATTCAAGAATAATAAGAGAAGTTGTATGGATCAGAATATCAGGTACATTTAACTGATGATCATTCTTAGATATACATATGAGTGACATAACGTATAAAATTGGTGAAAATCATTTCCACAGCTTTTATTGTTATACATAATGTTGCTGCTTTTATAATTCTTTGAAAAATGAATGTTATTTTCATTTTTAATATCATTAATAATTTGTGCGAAAGATCTCATGATTACAAAATATTAAAAAGATTTTTGAACGCTATTATTATCATAGTTGACAATGTGTAAAACTTACAAAATTATTATAATTGAGCTCCTTCTTCTTAACTGTCCAAATATATTCTCAATTAATTCAATATTGTTGTTTTAATGACGATTAAATCTTTTCGGGATCAGTTTAGAAAATAAATTCTCCAATATATCGTCAACCGTTAAAACAAGTCTTCGAAGTCCTATTCCACGAAAAATTCGAACAATTTTAAATAACCCGCAACAGATCATTATCAAAAATATATTCATCAAATATCACGTGATCTCAATAAGAACGACCATTGGTTATTCATTATATATAGATTAGAGAGTACAGTCGACCGAAATGGTCGAATTTAAGTTTCATCATCTGAACATAACTTAACCTCAAATCGGTTCTCGAGAGTTCGACGAAATTATTCTGATATAAAATCGGCATTGCTTGTGAAAAAGTGATAAGAGAAAATTTAATGAAAAATGCGATTGCTCATAAGTTCTTTCAACACAAAGTTGCTACCAATATTCTGTCATCGAGTGAATCTCCACCGGTATCTTTGCAAAAATTATGGACTAAATGCACGGTCTGCTGTAACGAAAAAATTAATTTTAAACCATAATGGATCGACAGTTTTGGGTTTCCTTCGAGGAAACCTTCGGGATTTCCGTCCAAGTGCAATAATGACAATACAAAATTTTTCTTCCAAAAGTCCATCGGATAAGGACCCACCGATGTTAGTCTTAGTAATTTTTTTTATTTCATTTCAATCAGAAATTTTTTATTTTATTGTTTTCGTGTTGACAAAAACTTTTAAAAATGTTTGTAATTAACTTATAAATATTATAAAAAAAGTTTTCTTTGAAATAAATAGTTATTTGAAATATACTTTCATTAATGCTATTAATATTTTAATATACTTTTTATTGTCCAGTGAAAATGAAGTTGAAGCTCAATCAGAGGATTATCCTACAGCATTACCAGCAACTGTTGTTGTTCCAGAAGTATGGCCACATGTCCCAGTCATTGCAATCAATCGTAATCCTGTATTCCCACGGTTTATTAAATTGATTGAGCTTACCAATCCAATCTTGATGGATTTGATTCGACGTAAAGTTAAATTAAATCAACCTTATGTGGGAATCTTTTTAAAAAAAAGTGAAGAGTAAGTTTCTTTAAAAATTGTCATTTTTCTTTAGTACAAGATACAATTCTTTTTCTTCTAGGAATGAATTACAATTAGTTGAGAATATTGATGATGTCTATTCAGTAGGAACTTTTGCACAAATTCATGAGGTACAGGACTTAGGAGATCGTTTAAGACTTGTAGTTATGGCTCATAGAAGAATTAAAATAGTAAATCAAATAATTGAGGATTTAACTCCCAAACCAACTGGTAATAATTTTTTTATTGAAATAGAGTTAAGATTGTCTGATAACTTGGTTATTATTATGTTTTAGTAGTATTAAAATTATAATAGTATGATATTTAAGCTTTACCAAATAGTATCTAATGATTTTAATTCTGAATCTTTGTATAATATTTAAAATTTTTGATTAGCTTTTGTTTAAAATCCCAAAAACTTATAATTAAAACTAGATTTTGGTTTCAACAACATTATTTTATTTTTATTAATCGGTCTTTCTGTAGAAACAGATGAAATGAAATTGAAGTTTCCTCTATTAAATACAACAATTAACGTCTCTGTAGACGATGCCATGGCTGGAGGGAAAAAAAGTCGTAGAGATCTTAGGCGAAAGAAGTTAGAAGGAAAAATACCAGAGCAGATGGAGAAAAGTATGGAGCCTGTTGTTACAATTGTTGCAGATGATAAATCAGTTGAACCAAAATCCATTGATGCAGCTGAAACTGTACAAGTTACAGACTCTTCTCAGAAACAGCCTTTACTGATGGTAGAAGTGGTAAATGTAACTCATGAAAAGTTCAAACAAACTGAAGAAATAAAGGTTTTATTCATTAGATTATTTATTTGATTGTAACTAATTTTGACATGTACAATCTAATCAATTAACTTATATATTATTGTCAGGCATTAACCCAAGAACTAATTAAGACTATCAGGGATATTATAAGTATGAATTCTTTATACAGAGAGTCTTTGCAGCAAATGTTGCATCAAGGTCAGAGGGTAGTTGATAATCCTGTTTATTTGAGTGATCTTGGAGCAGCATTAACTGGAGCTGATGCTAATGAGTTACAAGAAGTTTTAGAAGAAATGGATGTTAGTATCTTAAATTTATTTATTTGTGTTGTTTTGAAAGTCAGTTTATCGTCAATCTTTATCATTCTTATTTTAGATAACAAAAAGATTACGTTTATCATTAGCTCTTTTGAAAAAAGAGTATGAGCTGAGTAAATTACAACAAAAGATTGGTAGAGAAGTTGAAGAAAAAGTTAAACAGCAACACAGAAAATATATTTTGCATGAGCAACTCAAAGTTATAAAAAAAGAATTGGGACTAGAAAAAGATGATAAGGATGCTATAGAAGAAAAGTACAGAGAAAGAATTAAAGACAAAGTTGTACCGAAACCTGTGATGGATGTTGTAGAAGAAGAATTGACAAAACTAAGTTTCTTGGAAAGTCACAGCAGTGAATTCAAGTTAGTATGATTCTGCATTTTGAATTTATGGAATTTTTGATTGATTAATATTTTATAAACTCAATGTTTCCTTCATTGCAATACCACAAAATTTATAATTTGATCTGTACTTTTAAGCGTTACGAGAAATTATTTGGATTGGCTAACATCAATGCCTTGGGGCATTGCAAGTCCTGATAATTTGGAGCTTCAACAAGCAATCGAAATTCTTGATCAAGATCACTATGGAATGGAAGATATCAAAAAGAGAATCTTAGGTAATAATAAAATGTGATCAATGATGATTTCTAAAATATAAATGTTTATGTTCAATAATATTTATTATTTTAGAATTTATTGCGGTTAGCCAATTAAAAGGATCGACACAAGGAAAAATTTTATGCTTCCACGGACCTCCTGGTGTTGGAAAAACATCGATAGCTAAGTCAATAGCACGTGCCTTGAACCGGGAATATTTTCGATTTAGCGTGGGTGGTATGACTGACGTTGCTGAAATTAAAGGTCATAGGAGAACATATGTAGGTGCCATGCCAGGAAAAATTATTCAATGTTTGAAAAAGACTAAAACAGAAAATCCTCTAGTGTTAATAGATGAGGTAGACAAAATTGGAAAGTAGGTTATTTTTTATTCAATACACAAAACCATTTTCTATATTAAGCACAGAATTTAAAATTAATTAATTTAATTCGGTAGAGGATACCAAGGAGATCCAGCTTCAGCACTGTTAGAAATGCTAGATCCAGAGCAAAACGCGAACTTTCTTGATCACTACCTCGATGTGTCAGTTGATTTATCCAAAGTACTTTTTATTTGCACTGCCAATGTAATCGATACGATTCCTGAACCTCTTCGAGATCGAATGGAGCTTATAGATATGTCTGGTTACGTAGCAGAAGAAAAACTTGCTATTGCTAAGCAGTATCTTGTTCCCCAATCCATGAAGGACTCTGGTCTTTCCACCGATCAAATATTAATTGACGAGAGTGCCTTGAACTGTCTCATAAAATCATACTGTCGAGAGTCAGGAGTAAGAAACTTGCAAAAGCATATTGAAAAGGTGCACCGCAAAGTAGCTTTTAAGGTTGTCAAGAAAGAAGCGGAAAAGCTGGTAGTAACAAAGGATAACTTGCAAGACTTTGTTGGCAAACCGACATTTACTCACGATAGAATGTACGAGCTTACACCACCTGGTGTGGTGATGGGTTTGGCATGGACGGCTATGGGTGGATCAACGCTTTTTATTGAAACGACTATTAGAAAACCAAATGATACGTCCAAGAAATTCGACGGAACTTTCGAGGTATGGATAGTATTTTCATGAAAAAATAATTAATGGAGATAACAATATTAAACACTCAAAACTTCATTTTGAAAACAAAATGCAAATATTTTGAAATGTTTATAATTTTACGTTTAAGGTAACAGGTCATCTCGGAGACGTTATGAAAGAGTCAATCAGAATTGCTATGACTGTAGCCAGAAACTTTCTTCAAAAGAAAGATCCGACGAATACTTTTCTTTACGACGCACACTTGCACTTGCATGTACCAGAAGGTGCAACACCTAAAGATGGACCAAGTGCCGGCACGACAATAGCAACTGCCTTCGTTTCGCTTGCTAGAAATAAATCCGTAAGACAGGACATTGCAATGACAGGGGAACTCAGCCTTATGGGTAAAGTTTTACCTGTTGGAGGTATCAAAGAAAAAACTATTGCTGTGAGTATCTTGATATGCACATTTCTTTTGACAAACATACATTGAAAAATGGTATAAATTAATTGTTTTTAACAGGCTAAACGAGTTGGAGTAAATTGTATAATATTACCGGAAGAAAATAAAAAAGACTTTGAAGATTTGCCAAAATATATCACCGATGGCCTTGAAGTTCATTTTGTTTCTAGCTTTGAAGATATTTATAGGATATGTTTTCCGGAAGGGCAACATACAGAAACACCTGTACAACATAATGAGGACTTAACAACAAATTTCACATCCAAACAACAAGCTCCACTTCAGGCATAGTCGTTAATTTTAACTAATTTTATTCGCATTTATATTTGGATTGTTCATTACAAATAATTCTTTTTATGTCTAATTCTATAAATACGATTTTTTTTATCGTGTGTCGTGAAACAGAATGAAATTATCACATTCCTATCTGTAAAATAACAAAAATAAGTTTACGAAAATTTGGTGAGATTGTTCAAAAGTAGATATCTTATAACTATAGTAAATAAAAAACAAAAGAAATCCCAATCAACAAAATTTCAAAAATTAAATTTATTTACTTATAATCTAATATCCGTTGATATAGAAAATATTTACATTACTTCAGATATCTTTTATAGATTTGCAGATGGAGTAATGTTTGTGCAACATTCATTTTCAATAGCTTGCAGATAGCCGATATGTCTGCAAGAAAAGCATGAACATTTGTAAATATTGTATATTGCCATTATTCTTTACTGAAAAATATGTTAATGCGTGAAAGTAGTTCTGTTAAATAAATCATACTTCATCCAATTTATTTTATATACAAAAGTAGATATTAAGTATTGTAAAAATAAAATTATTGCTATGAAAATGATTTCTTTTCCTTTCATTCAAAACAACTTAAATTTTTTTTTAATTTGAGAAAATGTTAAGCATTGAAGTGTATTACAATTTTTTGAAAAATAATATAACTTTGTATACGAATGATTTACAAAATGATATTTTATAAACATCATGTTTGACTATTCATTGAACTAAGAATATGGAATATCCATTTTGCTTAGTCTAATTATAAAATCACACAGCCTCATTTGAACTTGAATATCCATTGGGTTGCTTGTCACATAAAATCCAGGTACTCCAGCTTTTTCCAATATACTTTGTTGATCAGTAACCTTTTGGTCAAGTTGTCTTACTAATTCTAAATCTAATTGCTTCATCTCTTCTTTATGTCTTCGAAACAGTGTTTGTTTCATAATTTCTTTTTCCCTGTCCAAAATAATATTTGAAAAAGCTTGTTGAATTTCAGCTTGCTGTTGATGAATTAATTGTAGTCTTTTTTGGAATAGATGCTTTTCTGTTACATGTTGTATTTCCATTAAACCTTTGACTATCTCGAAAATTGTGTCATTAAGTAAACAATTTGCCAAGCCAGAGAGTAATTCATATGGAAGACGCATCTGATATTTTGAAGGTAGTTGACCAGCCATTTGTTGAAGTTGTTCCATTAAAAAATATAACTTTCTTTGTAGATCTTCAGGTGTGAAAGTGTTCATCTCCATTTTTACTATAAAAAGAATGGAAACAAATAAATGGCTTTGATAACAAATAAATAATTTGCTTTTTTAATATATTCTTTTATTTCTATTCAATTTAGAGATAATAAAGAATTTATTATAGTGAAACTATTTTGTAAAATACCAAAATTTTTGTTTTGTTTTGTTTATTTTCACTTCATTTCAGATTTGTATTTTATTGTACAAAACAATAAAAATATATTTTGCATGAGCAGCTATAAAATATTATTTGATTGCAACTAATCGTTGATTTTACGATTTATGAAAAATTGGGATTAGTTTATATTCTTGATTATTATTAATAATAATCAAGAATATCATTTTTAGGGATAGATATATTTCTATCTATAATCTATATACATTTAACGTATTTCAATCAACAATAATTTTTAAAACATAAGATCCGTAAAGGTTAGCTAAGTAAGCTACATTGAGAATATTAAATTTATTTGCCATTATCTAAGAAAATTTATACGTTGATCAATGATTTTTTTTTTGACAGAATGCTTACAAATTCGTACATATACAAGCAAAATTGGATTCTTTTCAACGCTGAACAAATAAATTCAATACATCATATTTTTAATGCATGGTGCAGAAAATACAGCACAAACAACTGGCGATCTGCCGCGTGCGCGGGCTGCGGCCAGGGAGCGCGGGGCGCTACTGCAGTAACGTAATTATTGTCACCGACTTGTTTTGGTTAATATAACCTTGCTTAAATACATGCTTTTCGATTTTCAGTATTAATAATAGTGTTAAAAAATTGTTCAAAATGTACAGATAAGTTATTTTTTGTGTAAAACTATTAATTACAACGATAACAATAAAAATAAAGTTTAATGTAACGGAGCACGCATTTATCATCACGGAAGATAATCTAAAATTTCACAATGCTTGCCATTAAGTGTATTTATCATTGTCTCATTTCTTTATTTATATTTTGTGCAGTGAAAGGTCAGAATAAATAACGATTATTTACTGCTTAATGCGTTATCTTACTGTCATTACATTACATGCTTTTTAAATTAATAGGTCACCATACTCATCGACACAAAACTCACAATCAACATCATAAGCCAGAACAAAGTCCATTAATAAGTACAAAAGAGTTGAGAAAAGTATCAGAGGAAATTTTTGATAAGCTTCCTGATGATATTTTTCAGTATATAAGTATAAATTATCAAGGACAGAGAGATACAAAGGATGTAAAAGATGAAGCTCCAGAGCCGTAAGTATCATTTTATATCTGGCAATCTATTATGTGAATGTTAATTCAATTATTGCACAGATTATATATCTGAAATGAAACAATTTCATAACAGATTGATAGATTATTAAGTAAATATTTGTCTTTTTAAGTTATTGTTTAAAAAAAATTATGAATTATTTGTTTTAATACTAAATATTCATTGTTGGAGTTATATAAATGTAAGAGATCCTAACATTCCATCTCATCTTTCAATGTTGTTAAATGTTACGTTTGAAGTAAAACACTGTATTTAAAGTTATATACATAAACTTTCATCATGATTACAGCTTGTTCAGTGTGTCTAGTGATTTATTTGAAGTTACACCTACTATACATCAAATGCGTAAACTGTATGACAATTACGATATCAATACACAACATGCTGAAATAATAACACCAAAAGAAGACATGGAAGAAAATAATTTTATAGATGAGCTGCTAAACACTAGTATTATGATTCACACAATGGACTTTTTGGCTAGTAAAGGCTATTTTAGAAAGAATCTCAATGAATACAGGCAAATCCTGAAGAAGATTTGGTTTCAACCCTATTCTCGCAATAATCATACAGAGTTAGGAAGCTCCGGATTTGAACATGTTTTCTTAGTAGAAAAGAAAAGAAGTTACATCACTGGTCTACATAATTGGATATTCTTTGCAACTGCTGAATATGATGATAAAGCTAATTATTTAGGATACATTGCCAAGGAAGAGTTAGCTAATGTAAGTATATTTACTTAATTTAAATTAAATATATTCTGTATCATCATTATTAAATTTGAAATGTTTTGTTTATTAGAAAGCAGTTATTTTAAAATTATACCTTTCATACATGGAAAAAGTGAAACTATCCTCTATGTTTATTGGAACTCCACCAGAATTTGAAATTGCTCTCTATACTTTATGTTTTTATGCAAGGCCAAACAGAGGATGCAAAGTTTTATTAGGAAACGTGAAAGTTACAATTCAAACTTGGGTACAATATTCTAACAATGCAAAACTAATTGGCTCATCTTTTCCTAAGATCTACAGTCAAACCCACAAGTATTTATAAATTATTTCTCCAATAGCGTGTGAAATATTAAAGAAACTTTGTTAGTTTCTAAATATCTATATAGTACAATTCTAATAAAATAATATTAATCTTATGAAAAAAATATCACAAAATCAAGCGACAATAATGACAGATATTACATATAAGACAAAAGAGAGAACTGACTATGACTTGTGTTCATTATCAATATGCGTATTGATAAAAAGCGTTTTAATAATATTGATAATGAAATAACGTTATCTTAAGTTGTTTATTGCTATTTATGACTATAAAAATAAAATAGTGAATAATTGAAAATCTATGATTACAGATTTTAAAAAACAAAAAAACAGAATGAATGAATTTTTAAATGTTAATCTATTAACTCAGTATTATCAGGGTGCATTGACATATGATTGTATATTGTTAGTTAAAGATCTGTTAATATTTACAATATTTTTGAGAAGTATTATGCAAATGAATTGTACATTATATCAAAGTATTACTTGATGCATTTTGTAATATACAGGCAGACAAAATTAAGAAGACTGGGAAATATGTGTATATGATAAAATAAATAATACGTCACTTAATTAATAAATAATAACTGAAACTTAAATTTAAGTTTATGAATTTTTACAAAATTTGTAATTTTTTGAACAATAAACCATAATAAACATTCTTATCTCGTTTCAAAGTGAAACAATTATAAACCAATCTTTCCCGTATTATCATAACGTCTAATAAAACTAATAAAAATTGTAGTGTCAGCCAGTACATGAGCTAATCGAGTGATTGCTAATAAATAATCTGTACGAGTTCAGCATATCTAATAAATCTGAAAATACATTAAGCAAGAGTATCGAGAACCACTGATCAAAACATATTTGCTCACTAATTTTTTCTCGAAACATCCGAGAAATTTTAGCTCGCAATGTATAAAACAAAATTATTACCAACGAAAAGAAGTGCTCGATTTTTTTCAGTCTTCTGCGCTGAACACAAGGCTAGTATAGGTGCGCATGGTGGAATAAGTTAGCTAAGGTGGTGAACGGATTGTCCGGTGAAGTTGGCTAACCTGTTGTCTAAGCGCGCAAGACCAATCGATTCATTCGTTTGCCGGCGAACGTTCGGGAAACAAGGGTTTCCATGAGCGGCGTTCCGTACCTATCATTACTTTGCTCGAACGCAACAAAAAAGGCCAGAAAGAACAGGTGAGACGAGATTCAACGTGCGTACATGTCCGACAGCGCAGACTTGCACAAGCATTCGGAACCGACGTTTCATACATTCAGCAATCAGCAAGTAAGTCAGCTTTTTGCCCCTTTTCTTCGCTATCACCCGGAAAATTCGCGTCGCACAAAATAGACTTTGTTGTCTATGCCGGAGTATGATCACCAGCCAGTTTCTTCGATAGATTATTCTCTTGAATTATGAAAATCAAAAATAAGTCGAGTGTACGAGATGTAGTGCGAAAAAGATCGGGACAGCTTGATCAACAAAATGTGGTCGCTCCGCAACTGACGAAAAAAAAAAAAAAATCGAAAACAGCCGGTTGGCGTGTACGTTTGATGTGAAGATTTTCACCTTGACATCAGCCCTTTGTATATTAAACACTTTGTTCCTGTTGTAGCATTGGTATTGCTTTTTCTTGTCGGTCGTTCGAGAACGTTTCCGTCTTGTGGCATCTGTGGTTGCGAAATTTCGCGAGTGATGGGTTAAATTTCTATTCTCGGTTGTGCTGTCAGCACTCTCAAGTGTCGTCGAGTATAATAATGATTAAACTTGGAGTGTTAATTTTGAATGCTAATATTTACGGCTTCTCCAAAATCATTTGAAATTTTCTGTAACTTCGTCACTTTTGGAGAAGCGCGTGCTCATAATTTTAAATTCCAGTGCAGTATTCGTTCGTACATAGCATCAAGCTGACAACAGTGTTTGTAAACATAAAAAACTTATCGCATTATTTAATTTTGGATATCTCTTTAATCAGCTATGATGATCTAAAATCAATTCTAATCATGCATTCAAATGTGTCAATCGCGAAATTGATTATCAAATCTCTAATCAGTGTTTGAACTTTTAAATAATATAATTATACACAATGATATTATTGAATCTTCATTCATCACTCTATAACTACACTCATAAATGAAAAACGCCTATTATCTGATTATTCATGTCAAAATTTTATAGTGGAATATTTTCTATTGTACAATCAACTTAGAAATACGTCACGTATTATCGCGTGTATCACGTTATCTACTGACCCTACATGAACATTGAATTTACTCAATTGATTCTGTTACTTCTCAAACTATTCATACGTTACGTCGGATATATCATATTTTTCGTATATGCATTCAAAGTTATAATATGGATTTAACATTGCAAACATTTAGAGATTTATTTCATTTGTTAAATATTCATTTTCATTGGCAATTCAAAAACTTTAACTTTTGTTAATAGTGGAAAAACAGTTGCATATATCCGCACAATTATGACACTATTAAAAATAGCTTCTTTCAAAGTTACAAAGTTTCGTGTGTAAACTCAATGGTGTAACGTAAATATTTACTCCACATTAAAAGACAAAAAGAGAATGCACTATTATGGCAACTATTTTTATTATAAGTCCAAGGTTCCGTGGATTTACGAGTGTGATTTAGTTAAACACTCTACCTTTGTTTATCGCAGAATAGTTTCCGCATTGTGTATTGCCACGTAATCATAATAGGACGTTTCCAGAGAGCGCAAAAAAAAATTTTTTTGGAGCCAAGCGACTTTGCAAGTGTCCGATCTTGAAAAGTCTATTATGCATGATAAGATAAAGCATTGTGCCTCTATTTAAAGTTAGAAAAGATGCTGTTATCGAATTATTTTGTTTGAGCACGTACAGAGCATGTGTCATTATGCTGTAAAGTAATGGACTTTAATTACATAAGATCGATAAGAGAATTGTAACTGGTGAGATATAAATTTTACAATTCAGTTGTTACGATTCAATTGGCTTAATTTTTATTAACCGTATATCTTATTGCAGGCTTAAACACTATCTAGTCGTAAAATTTGTTTTGCACAACAATGCAAAGTACTTTGCTCGAAAAAGTAATTCGTAAAATTTAATCACTTACTTTTTCAACGGTCATGATGAATTTGTTGAGCTCTAAAAAGAATTCGTGATTTTACTGTATAGTTGCATATATATATATATATATATATATATATATATATATATATATATATATATATATATATACACGTCCAGAAAGCAAACTTCTTTTTAAACTGATATTTTTAACTTAAATTAATCGAGCGGTAACATCGCAGCCAAAACGGTTATTTTATTTTTATCGTCTTAAGAAATTTATCGAGTGTCATGGCGTTAAAGTAAAATCCAACATTTTAATAATAAGAATGGAAAGCACGGTGAAACTTATCTTTGATACGTATTTTCTTCTTTAAAGCATTATTTAATTGCCATTACGATGCATGGCGTAAAACTGTACAAAGCCGTCAGTTAGTAAATAATTAGTTGTGCGCATTAATTTATTTATACCCATGCTAATTCAATATTTCAGCGTTAATTTGATATTTCATAAGAGAACAATATATCTATAACACACGATATAGGCAATATCCTCTGACGATAATTTTAACCGCATATCACTACGTGGCTACAATTATCAGGTGATATCAAAGTATTCGTGAAGTTTCTTTGAAGCTTTTTCGTAAATATTGTTGCTTCACCTTTATAAGTCGGAACTTTACTTTAAAAAATAATTTGCAAGTTTTTAATTTTTGAATGTTAAAAAAATGCATTTAGATGTTGCATAGCTGAATATTTTTTTCATTCAAAACGTTAAATTTCAAAAATAGATGGTAAACATTGAACTTGATATTAAAATCTCATGTTGCAAACGTAACCTGAAACTTTGTCGCAGCTGATGGATGGTACGTGTATTTCAAGTGCACCACGCAACTGATCAGCAGCAAAATAAAAAAAAATCACTGTGATATTGTCTATTGAATGTACTTGACACCATGCAAAGCAATCGCGTCACCAATTTTTTTTTTCGTTACCGATAAATTCGACCTAGTTAAAGGTTGCGAAAATAACAAAGCTTTCTCCGAGCTTTTTCTTTGTAAAAAATTAAAGAAACTTACGAACGATGAACAGAGAAATTGCATATGTAACTAGCACACGCTTAACAGACCTTGACATCAGCTGTTCTAAGAAGTTCCGTCTCCAACAAACGTTGCACTCAGTTTTTCTTTGAACGTTTTCTTTAAACGCACACCTCAATGCCATTAATTTGTTCTTTGTGTTCAACAAAGATTTTATACGTGTAATAGCTTTTCTTAGTTTCGTTATTTCCATTCTTTCGATGATTTGGCATGTGGTATTCTATTAATAAATTGCTTTCCCGAAAGTATTCATTTACACAGTTAAAAGCAGCTTAAATATACAGTGAGACTTGTGAGACCAACATATACCGTGAACCATGAAGCTTATTTCAAAAAGCTTACTGATCACAAAATAAAGATTTTAAATTGCACGGTTTTGTCGTTTCGCTAAATTAAATTCATGAACCATAACAGTAGATTCAATCCTTTATTGTGCGATATTATAACGAAAAATCGGCGTATTATTACGTGTACTATGGTTCTGCAATAAAAACATCATTTTTTATAAAATTTCTTACTGAAAAAAGCAAACATATTGCATCTTCGACCAAATCTTAAATTTGTATGTTAGGTCAATTCAAGACAATATCTTAAATTATACCATATTTTTCTGAATTAGTAGTAGTTTTTGTTTTTGGATGACATAAAAAGTAAATATATGTATTCTATGTTGTAATTCTAATATATACTGATCACCTATAATTTCATTATTTGTAAAAGATTACCTCGTTAAGAATAAAACATCGTACGATGACTGTCGTGGAAATTTCAAAAGTATTCAAATATAAAATACGTATTTTTTAAAAATGTTTAAAAAAAAGTAATTAATAATGTTATGCTATTAAACTTAAAGTAATAATTTTGTGTCAAAAACAGTAAAAGTGTTGAAAGCTAATAAATTCCTAATTCTTCTTAGAATAAAGTCTAGTCAAAGGTGGTTATCAGCAGTTTTCTTCGCGTGATCTAAATAAAGAAAACAACAAGTCATAAAAAACGTGGAAGAGATGTGTAAAAATCCAAAACATTAAATACGTACGCGATCGTTCGTATCACGAGTCATTCACGAACAGATCAGTAGAGACGCGTCAGCTCGTACTTATACTTGTCACAGTTATAATCAACCTTAAGGCTCGGTCGTAACGACAAAAAAAAGGTTAATATGATCTGAATAACAAGTTTACACGGTCTTACGAGCGTGTAAAGCAGTTTCCATAACTTGTTACCAAGTTAGTCCTGTGTTATTACTTTTTTGAAGCGTTGTTAACGTCAATACTTTTTTCTCTTTATTTTATTCTTTCAATTTTAATCGAGAATAATTCAAATTTTACTTGTAATGTTCAATAATGCTGCTCATTTTTCCGATGCGAAATTGTCGATTACCAATATTATTACGACGTAATGATTAATTAGAGCAATTGTGATGAAAGTAGAATGCAGCAGTCAATGTTAGCCTTTTACAGTAGTTTTATAAACCGCAAGATAGCACATAATGTAAATGTAATAATTACTTGAATCGTGAGGAAAAAGTTGGGCTACCCTATAAATAATTAAAGAAGTTTGGAAAACGAATTGATTGAAAAAAATGTAATGTACCTCTCCACAATTATAAATACTGTTGACATAATTATTTAATAATTAAAAATGGGTGTTTTCGTATCAAGATGCATGTATTGAGGTATCAGTCAAAGTTTCACGAAAAAAAAGTCATTAACGCCAATATTTACTTATGACCATGTTCAAGTTTTCAGTTTAAAGACGATGCGAAGATAAGTTTTTCAACGTCTTACATATTGAATAGTTGAAAAATGGAAACTATACATAACAGTGTCCAGAAAGTGAGCGACGAAGATACTTAATGGTAGTTTTTACTAAATGAAAATATATTATATTGAATTTTTCATAATATTTTGTTTCTATTAGATAAGAGGATATATGTTTTCGGTAAAAAAAAATGGCATCAAATGAAATTCAACTTTTTAACAATCATCACAACTTTCAAATGATGACTTTTTTTTATTTATCAGTCGAAATTCTATTGGATAAGAATAATGAATTAATATTTATTAATATTTATTATAGCTTGTGACTTACATGGTAACATGTTCACCAAAAATTCAGAATCTTGTTTGACACTTTGGAAACGGAAAAGTTACAGCTTTTGGAAGATATTGCTATCAGTTCTGGTTCAGACCAGATTTATTTGCCTCAGTTGCGCATGAATTGGGGCAACTGAAAGATTTTTATGATTTTAATCAAACAGAATAGCAATAAGTGTGAATGTGCATCGAAAAATGTAGTTTCCAAGTAAATAAGAATAAAATAGTGTTTTATCGTAAAGAACATTTTCATTGCGATAACGAAGCTCACTTCCTTGGACTTCTCCCCGTTCTTTTTGAAGATAACCATTGAAAATTCGCTGAACTTTAATCATCGTTTAATAGAGGCTCGTCATCATAAATTTATATACGGTATTGATAATGCGCTGGAAGATAAATTAATTACCGGATTTTGTATCAAGCAATTGATTTAAAAATAGGGGAAAGCGCCCGATTGCATTCGAAAATTCTGCGCAGACAGTGCGCAATCGAAAGGCATATTCGCTTTTTCCATCGATCGGAAGTTGAGATGCGAAATTTGGAAAGACGGAATCGCGGCACCGATGAGAGTAGAATTGGAAAAAGTTTGGCTTTGACGTAGAATAAAGTAGTCAAGTGTGCAGGTGATATACGGCACGATCGCTTGTGCTGTTTCTAACGGAGTTTAATAAATGTTGAAAAGTCGCAAAGACATTGGTGCGCGTTGTCAGGCGATGATTACGAGCGTGGCATGCATAATGACGGACGTCTACCGAGGAGCGCGATAACTTACTTTACATCTTCTTTATTACTTTTTGCAATTATCGCAATCGCATTATTTGGAAAACGAACTGGCAATATTCGATGTTCCCCAAAAGAAGTGGTTACGTAAAGCAGCGCGAGGAGTCGCCCAGCGTTCGGTGAATATTCAGAAGTCACTCGACTGGCCGACAATGGGGAGTAGGCGACGACTCGGCGTCGGAGTAAGAGGTCGATTGAGGCTCGCGGACCTCGCGCCGTGGGCAGCGAGGGCGAAGAACGTGGGGGGAGGAAAAAGGCGCGCGAAGCGGCTGATAGCCGATTGCGGCGGGCAGAGGAGCGGTGGGTGGGGGTGGCGGTGGTGCGAAACGGAGAAAGCGCGGCCGCGGAGACGCGATAAGGAAGATAACCCCTGCTCGCCGTTGGCTCGCGCGTCGGGAGGTCGCGAGAGGTCGGCCCCAGGCAAACGTGCATGCAGCGAGCTTACGCACAGGCACAGCCGATAACCGCGAGCGAGGGGAGAGAGAGGGAGCGAGCGAGAGAGCTATCCTCGCACTTTGGACCGCGTGCAGCCAAGCTTAAGTTGGAATAGAGCGCGCCTCGGCGGCTCAGTGTTGCCTCGTCGACGCATCGCGGCTGGTCGGCTCCTTTGCCCCCTTGCGCAGCGCACGGCCCGACACCGACTGGAGCATCTCCTGCGAGCCACGCGCCGGCCTGCTCTCGATCGCTATCATGGACGTTTAGCCGCCGATAGCGGCAGCACGCACACCGCCCACTCGTAGACCGGTGCTCTCGCCCTTCCCGCTCGCTCCCCGACACCTCGCTCGACTCACCATTCACCATGTCCGGCACAGAGTCCAGAAGTTACACCTCCAACGGCAGTATGATCGTCGTCAGCAACAGGTTGCCCTTCGTCTTGAAGAGGAACGAGATCTCGGGCAAGCTCGAGCGCAAGGCCAGGTGAGTCGACCCACGCACCTATTTTTCCACGCTTCCTCGTTGCCGCTTTTCCGATCAATGCGAATCCAGATTGAACGACGTGTCTTGTTCAAGACGTCACCACCACTCTGTCGTTTCGCGATGCCTCAGTCATGCCAGATTATTCAACGTTGATTGCATTCCGAGTTTCATTGGGTTCAAATGGCCAAGCACCTCCTTACAATTCCGAAAACGGATATGCAGCCACGTATTATTTAAATAAATAACAATGTATGAAAACGTCAGTATACGATAAACAACGTATAGTTTTATTGGCTAGTAAATTATTCACCGTCCGGCAATCGTTGGCACAACGACCATTGTTTTTATTAGAATACAGTTTGAACGAAGAGAGGCTAACGTTAATAGTGCTATTGACGTTTTATTATGAAGCGAGCGCCTCTCACATGGGCCAGCATTCATACCAACGTTTTATTTTTTCATTTCAAACGGACATGAGATTTCGCAATTTCACGGATAACACTCCTGTTCGCATTATTATGCCTCTCTTCTCGTTTTCTTGTCTTTTCTCACTGTTTTTACTCGTGCTACTTTTTCTCGCCATAAATTACTGTCATTACAGTCATCGAGGCTTTCGAGTAGCATTTTAATCAGTACAATCGCAGTGACAAAATTCAACTTGACGATATCTCGTCAAACACGACCGGTGCAGTTGATAAATAAATTATTAAGTTGGCTTGCTTTTCAACGTTTTGCATACATAATTTCATCCCCACGTAGGCACGCATCTAAATATTGAAGACTCGCAACGAAATCTGTACTGTAGTTTTTTGTCTTACATAGTGATTCCGATGCGATAAAAGCTTGCGACTTGCTGGCTTGCCCTCTATTCGTTTATCGTGTCCGATATAATATTGTTTATTTATTAGACTACTGGCTGCGCTGAAAAACAACGCATGACATGAAATGCAACAAATATAATGTGCTGTATGTAACTGTATTGTGCCGGTACCGATTTTAATTCAGCCAGAAATACCGCTGAAATGGAAATTATTTCACGAACGCGCAATCAACGTTTCCTAGGCGTTAATTATGGCTGCAATGGTTATATTTTCATTTTGACAGGCTACGCGATTTCCCAGTTTTTATTAATACGCGAGCAAAACCGAGGAGGTTTTGTTTTATCATGATGCTTTTCGCAACGAGGCACAATTGCGAAATCCAATTTTGAGCGCGACATTGACCTTAGAATGAGTTAAAGAAACAAACACTGCCGTTGTAAGTTACAAAAATGTACATAAAATCTAGTTAGTTTTGATGTCGGATAGACAACAATATTTAATACTATTTTAGCTGAAACTTGTTAACTATTGGTATTCTATCCTTCTTCTAATAGAATGCACGATATTTGCATTTTGCCAAATAAAAACATTAATATTTAATATAATAAAAGTCTGTTGGTTGGGGCGTGCAAAAAATTTCGATAAAAACAGTTCGTTGACTCGAGTAAACAGACAGTTTGCCGCCTTCCGTGATATCTTGGACACACTTCGTTCAAAATATGCATAATCATCATATTGGTGATATGTAGTCTCATGAAATGTGAGGTAGAGCTTCACCTCACATTTTACTTTGTTCAGATTTTTTCCGAATATTAAGATATGCCCTCTGTTTAATGAAAAACACTTTGGAAATCCTTGTTTCAAAACGCAAGTCTTGTTTATATTAGTTACGTCTGTTTATTTTTCAAATGGATGTTGCAAGTACCGTAGCGATAAGTGCACATATGTATCAGCATTAACAAAAAGGGTAAATCGAGAAAGAGAGATATTGGAAATAGGGCACTGAAAAAGCTTGCAACTAACGATGCTTTTGTAATAGCACGACGAGTCCCCTCTCTTAAATCATCTTCGTAATTGTTATTCTATTGCTTTCTTGTTTACCGAAATTCACGTGGTTTTCCTGATAGCACTATCATACTTTCGTATTAAACCAATCACATTTTGTATTCCTTCATTTATATTCGACTTTTTTTCGTGATACTCCACTACTTTCCTTTTAGTTTAATATCGTTCCACTGCATTTTTGTCGGTGAAGCGATCGTCAAATGCTTTTATTGATTCGAACAAATGTTATAGAAATACTTTCTATGCAATTGTGCCAGCCACTGACTTCAGTCAATTAATATATATATATATGGGAGTTTCTTTGTATATAAATCTCAAGATTTTTTTGACTGATCAACCGTGAATATATTGCATCACAATACATCAAGTAGATTTTACAAATTATTATTAGCTGCGATTGACTGTTGAGAGCAATAAAATTTTGAAAAGTGTAGCTTTTGTTAATTTCAACTTTAATACAATACATCAATCCTTGCTATCAAAAACGCACTCTTGATTAGAATTTTCATTAAAATACAATCAGTATTCGTTCCCTCAATTTACTCGATTGATGATTCCTAATCAGCGTTATAATCAGCACTAAAAACATCTCAGCCGAATTGTGTAACGCAATGCTCTACTCTTTATCTCCTCAAGTTGTCTATAAGCTCATTACACTCGTCGTCTGCATGGATAGTATCGATATTCTCATTACTCATAATTATTACAGCTCAGAGATTTCTACAACGTATGCTCTTTTCCTTTAGCGAAAATCGCCAACTTTTATGCATTCATTTCTTTTATCAGCAATGATTCTCGGACAGCTTTGCGATTCTTACATATTTTATAAATGTGCAAATAGGAAGTGCGTATATCATTGATTATCAATCAATAATAAATCAGATAACGCAGTAAAATTGATGTTACTGTACTCTGTGCTGACTATTCGTAATCAGTTCAAGTTTGTTTAGTCTAGCCATTACTGAAAAGTCAGTACATCGGTATTTGTTAAAACTACGATATTCACAGAGAACAAATGGTACAAGGAGTACGCTCAGACACCACGTTGCAAATGTGTACATATATAAGACCCACGTGGAGCTCAAGATGTCTGGTAGTCGCGCTGAAATAAGTCGACGCAACGCACGATTTTTCCGACAATTTTCACGCAAGGTCAGTCCGTAATCACGTGCATCGCGTACGTATATTGGAGATAAGTGAAAACGCGTCTTCGCGTAAATATACGACGGATATCAAATGCTCACAATTGCGCGTCAGTCGTAGCCGCGATAAAAAGTGTTGTCCGTATTTTTGAGAAAAAAATTCGTTTGCGTATGTACGGGCATGTGTCCGAATGCGCGTAATCGTATCATCGATCATTTGCGTGCCACGAGCAGTCACTGCCTGGGAAGCTCGAAAAGTTTATTTACTCGTCGAGTAAATAATCATGTAGCATGTAGTGTCTTCTGTTTGCATGATTCATTAGAGATAGATGGCGATATGCTCATTCTATTTCTATATGCATTATCCGTTGAGAAACTTCGTTATCACGCACGTGACGTTTTCTTTTCTGTTTTATTTTGCATTATGTAGCTCTTCATTCGCAATACATTTTTTTCAGCTCCTCCGTGCTGCCTTCGATTTTCTTAATCTTCCCATTGGTCCAATTCATCTTTGTTGCAAAGCTAATGATGCATTTTAATATATCTACTATAGTGCCATCTTATGGCGGTAACCATTGCTCTGATCCATAATAAAAAATCTTATTTGCATTTAGTGAAAATACTTAAGATATAACGTTTAGTCATTTCGCTAAATTACAATACATAGTAATCTTAGCAGTATTCTCGTCTTATATATGTGAACATTTTTTATAATAAAATTAAATCAATATTTTTTTTAGATGAAAGCACTTTTTTAAGAAATACGATTGCAAACAGTTGGAATTCGATCAAATTCTAAACGCACTGAGAATAAGAAACGAATTAGAACAATAAATTAATCTGATGGATATGAATGACCTTAAGCATTTAAGATACGTCGGCTGGGCATCCAACAATAGAATTCATTAGATCGACATTCTGAGTAATAACTAACAAGTTTACAAGAATCAATAGCACGTCGAGTTGAGAACAAAGCATTAAGTTCGTTTGAACGTTATACTGATGGATTTTCTATTTTTTTTTCTATCAAAGTCACCACGCAACACACGTGGTAAGTGCATGTCGAGATGCGAGCGTATACGTCACAGTTTCGGAAACGACCTTAAATGTACTAACCCAACTATCTGATGAAATCACGAGGTCGCGCATGCTACTTAATTGCTTTCTTTCTCATCGCAATTATCTCGTCTGTGCGAAACGTCTAATGGCCGTGATCGCGAACTTGTAAATTCCGTGGCCGACGGCTTGATAATGATCACGTGTAGAAAAATTAGTTTCAGCGTGATAACAGCTGTGCGACTGAACCACTTGTACGTGAAACTATTCGCGGAAAACAATTTACACGCGCTGTCGCTGAGGAAAATTGACTGTATTTAGCTTGTGTACAATCTCTCGAAGATATATTTTAAATAGTGTTCTTGTTATGAAGCATCGGGTTGTTTTGTGCTTCTTGCGCGCGTCTTACAATTGACAATGTGGATATTTTACGAGTGGAATACCGACGATTGAATAACAATTATATCAACATTCAGTTTCGGCATTACTTATGCATTACCGGACTATTCATTCTGTATATTGTTTTAAATTCATCCGGGGGAAACTTGCTCGAGATTATTAAGTTCCAAATGATACGATGCAGTTAGAGGAAGCAGTCAAGCTTGTTCCAATGCATTTTTGAATTCACGTTGTGAAATTGTGATGGTACAAATTTGATAGAAGTCATATACAAATTGTCTTATCTACTGTACTTGAATTTAAACTATACTTTTCAATGAAAGTTTACGAATGCAATCAATGATATTGTTTCAATCTAGATTTAATGATCGATAATTAAATTTTACTCCAGTTACTCCTGTAGTGTCTTAAAAATTCATCTTAAAACCCCAATTATTGCTTTTTATGCAAAAATACTTATAAATGCTCTACTCCAGAATTCGTCATAACTTTTTCAGTGCTGGTGGTCTAGTGACTGCCGTCGCACCAGTTGTCATAAACGGAAATGGAGTCTGGGTTGGATGGCCGGGAATGCACATGGACAATCCTAATGAACCCATTCCTGAATCTGATCCAAACGATAGAACACCAACTGCAGGATTATTATCTCGAAAGGTATGAAATTGCTTGGCATTGGTGGTATATCAAACAAAAATTGATACTTATTTAAGTAGATTCGCAAAATGACAACAATGTCCGAGCTCATCTTTGGGTATAGGATTTTTCAGTTGTTTACGCATCATTACCTCCCGCAATACACTTTGTATACATAAAAATGTTGATAACCGGTTGTCGTCAAAAATATATCGATTCTAAGGGGTACGTACGTAAATCTGTGTGTATGTGCAAAATATCACGTTAATTTTTATCATAACTTGTAAAATAAATGTTAAAAGAGATTCAAATAAACATTTTGTGTAAGCTTTTCTTTTTCTTATATTTTGGATTCTTTCCTCAAATCATAATGGAATAACAACATAGCATGCCAAACAAACAATTATTTTTAATGAAGTTTGATCCGATATAAATTATCAAACTTTTTTAATAATAGAAATCCTTGAGTTCGTACCGTAAATAAGAATGATCGATTATGGAATTTCGCAGTCATAATTTCTACAATCGCATTTTGTGTCACGCCATTAATGTTGCCGAGGTTAATCACAGAATGTTAAGAAATACATCTTATGGAGCTTAAATTCTGTTGACCTTGGCATATAAAACATTTGCAAGCCTTTGTTGCACTTAGTAATTTAAATCAAAGCCTTTTTGTCACTCGTACTACGCCATTTAATCAATTCGTTTGCAAGTGCTTCTATATTTTAATAGAACATGATGATACATCTTCTTGGTAGTTCAGTTGAGTGCATGACAGAAAATTACGCTAAAGATTGTATTTAACCATTATATGTGACGTTAAAATTATTTAAACACAAATAATTATATTTATAAATAATTAACAATTTTTCAATATTTTTCAAGTGATTATGAATTTCTGTGTATTCTAAGTTAGAAACTTTAACAACCAAATACGATCAAAGCCACTTAAGATGCAGTAAAATAAAAAAATTTACTGCATTTACTCATTTCGCATCACGTCTTCACGCTGAGTTAGTTGACTAGTAAATCAACTATTGTTTTGTGATTACAGTTTCATTTTACAAACGTCCTCGTGGTATCTGAATACAGACGCACCTATTATCTGCAAATAGGAGTGACTAGCTCTTTGAACGTTTTAGTTTGGTTTTCTCATTAATTCTTTGAAAAACCAACCACATTCGAGTTACGGACTGTAGCTGCAATTATCACGTTCATCGTACGTTAAATTTTTAGTTTCTACATATATTTTGAAGATTGTTGGTGCTTCAAAATAAATTATTAAGAATAAATGACGTATAATTATGAAGTTTGAAAAGTTATTGATTACGACTTAAACTTCATTAGAAAATACATGTTTCTAAATGATTTAATACTTTTCGAAATGTGATTTAATATAAGATGTAGCATTCACAAAACTGTCTGGAATCGTATTTAACAACATGGCTTAATAATAATTGTTTTGGATTATTTATATTTTATATTTTATTTTATTAGCTGTGTAACTTCCATATAACGGATGTCTATGTTTTGCTTTTCCTTTGTTTATTAGGTTTTTTCTTCAGTCTAAAATAAACATTATCTTATCTTCCAACGTTTTCCCTTTTTTCATTCATTCAGTAACAGCAATGCGATGGGTTTTATTTCTTATTCACAATCAGTGTGTTCATATATTCCTCGCTGACAAGTACACGAATATAGATAATGATAAACTAATTGTAATATTTTCTTTTATAATACAATATTTACGAAAAAATACTGTATCATATAATCACATAATATTGATTACATTTTCTGTGACTGCTTTGTTGTGAAATGTTTTAAGAGTCTCGCAAAAATATAAATTAGGCTTGTATTACATAAACTCCATATATTTTGCAAAGATATGAAGAAAAGCTTCTACTTCTCAATTTGCAGTACAGTTTCGTAAGAGATTTTATCCTTTCACGTACTTATACTCGGAAAATGATGTAATGTACTTCTACTAATGCGGTCAATCTATCTGTTCTATGCTACCCTTTTTTGTTGACCTTCGCATAGAGATAAGTTTATGTCTCTGTAAAATCATAATTTAAAAGAATAAATGGATATAATCATCTAATTCATAACCTACATCATTACGTCTATTTAAATAGTATCTATGTTCCTAAAATAAATTTTAGTCCATGAACTTATTTACATCTTATATTTCTTGTTAATATTTGGAGGTCGAAATTAGTGCAAAAACCTTTTATCGCAAAAGTTGCTTATTGCGTCAATAAGATGACCAACCAATCTGTTCCGTATAATCAAAATATTTTCCTTTATTAAAAAGAACTTTTTACAATGATAAATATTACTAAGCAACGAATGTAGTATGCGATGTCTTGATACTACTTTTTTTATATAATAACCAATAGCCATGTGTAAAATACATTAAATCTAACTTACGAGTTTCTTACAAGAAAGAAGAAGGCGTGGCTTAGTTATCTCATAATAGATGCACTGTTCATAAACGCAAATATAATGACAGCAGAAGATATTTATCTGGAAAAAGCATTTTTCCATTTTAGCAACGAGACTTGTCACCGCACGTCCTCATCTCCCATCGCGATTATCGATCCATTAAAATTATTTCTGCTGTTCCTTATTTTATCACTTGCTTTCTTTCATCTTGAAAAAGATATCTTATTTTTTCTGCAGTGTACATAATATACGAGGTTCATGGTCCGCTCAAATTATCTTATACATAGTCAAAAACTTTTATTTTCAAAATTCTTAATAAAAAAAAACGATTTCTAGACTCTACAAACTGTCCAAAAATTAACATTTTTTATATAGTGTAAAAAAACTTTTGTCTGAGATCTATGTAGTGCGCCAATTTTATATTTATCGTATTTGTTCTCCAATCGCTCGTTTTGACTTCTTTGACGAGTGATAATTAACGAATCAGTCTTTAAATTAACAACTGATTCTGATTTTTCCTCCAGCGTTTTATCGTCTTGACTGTACTGACGTTGTTGTGATATCCATTTTGTTTAAATTTCTTTCATTCATCCACTTGTTCTTATCAAATAAATGTATACAAGTAGTTTATTAAATCGAAAGTATCTCTTATGTGATCGTGAATGTTTGTTTAATTTCAGGTTGTGGCGGTGCACGTAGAACCAACCATTTTCGATTCATATTACAATGGCTGTTGTAATGGTACTTTCTGGCCGCTTTTCCATTCGATGCCCGATAGAGCGACTTTCATCGCTGATCATTGGAGAGCTTACAGTAGCGTCAACGAAGAATTCGCTGCGAAAACGGTATACTTTTTTTTATTGAACTTTTAGTTTTGATCTTCAGAAGTATCAGCGAATAATATTATTATAACACGCAATCAATGGGTGAAGATTACTAAATCTATAAATATTTGTTAATTTTTTTTCTAATTTTCACTTTCTAATTACACAACAATAATCCACTCTACTTATAATAGAATTGTTTAAGTGTTGTTTAATTGATATTATGGATTTTGTGTAGGTAGCAGCATTGGAGTTAATTCACAAAGAACAAGAGGGTCAAGGCAATGGAACGCCGTTGGTTTGGGTGCACGATTATCACCTGATGTTGGCTGCCAACTGGATCAGACAGGCCGCTGACGAGAAGAAGCTAAAGCTCAAACTTGGTTTTTTCCTACATATTCCGTTCCCACCATGGGATATTTTCAGGCTGTTCCCTTGGGCTGATGAGATTCTTCAGGGAATGTTAGGTAAATCAATCTCAACTTCAAATTCCATTTCCACGATATAAGCAGAAAAATCTAACATCTATGAATCGGTATGGCAGGGTGCGACATGGTCGGTTTCCACATTCAAGACTACTGTCTAAACTTCGTGGATTGTTGTCAGCGCAGCCTTGGTTGTAGAGCTGATCGCAAGAATTTACTGGTTGAACACGGTGGCCGTACAGTGCGCGTGAGGCCCCTACCCATAGGCATACCTTTTGACCGCTTTGTTACGCTCGCCGAGACAGCGCCTAAAGTTATGCTTACCAATCAAAAAATTGTGCTTGGCGTTGATCGGCTCGACTATACCAAAGGCCTCGTCAACAGGCTCAAAGCCTTTGAGATGCTGCTGGAAAAACACCCGGAGCATAAGGAACAAGTATGTACCAGTTTTAATGTCAGACTATTTCATCTTTTCTTAAGCTTTAAGCTCTTGATATTATGGAACAAATTTGATAGGTTACTATGTTGCAAATCGCCGTGCCATCTCGTACCGATGTACGCGAGTATCAAGATTTGAAATTGGAAATGGACCAGCTCATCGGCAGTATCAACGGCCGTTTCACTACCCCCAATTGGTCACCAATTCGTTACATTTACGGTTGTGTTAGTCAAGACGAGCTCGCTGCCTTCTACAGGGACGCTGCTGTGGCACTCGTTACTCCTTTAAGAGACGGAATGAATCTTGTTGCTAAAGAATTCGTGGCTTGTCAAATCAATACTCCTCCCGGAGTACTTATTGTTTCGCCTTTTGCTGGCGCCGGTGAGATGATGCATGAAGCGCTTATCTGCAATCCTTACGAACTCGACGAAGCAGCTGAAGTCATACACAGGTACGTATCTTTTATTCAATTGAATAACAGTATTTACGAGTCTACGTGAACTAATAATATTATTGACTTGCAGAGCCCTTACGATGCCAGAGGACGAGCGTACTCTCCGAATGAATCATCTCCGCCGTCGTGAGAAGGTATTTGACGTAAACTACTGGATGAAGTCCTTTTTGCAAGTGATGGGCTCCTTAGAAGAGCGAGACTCAGTTGGAGCAACGGTGATGCAACCCGTTACTATGGACGATTTCGATGATTATTTAAGCAAGTAAGTACTGAAGGTATATGGGAATGTGCATGTCTGGGCCCGACTAGTGCATGTGCCTACATTCGCGCCATTGCATCCAACATGTACACGCACACTGGCATTCACTCTATTTTGCACACGCATTTTCATTATACATTTCGTTCTGTCGCTTTTTTCTTTTCCATTGAAAGATTTTCACTGTAAAAGATCAAAATATCCAATCGTCCAGAGAGTCGATTAAACATAGAAACATGTAACTTAATGTATAATGATTTTTTTCACAGCAATACCTAGTTTATTGAATAGCATAAATTTCTATGACAACAAATATATTGATAAAATGGAAATTTGCCTACTTTATATGTTTCTATGCGGTTATAAAATAATATTTTCCAGGTTTATTTCTACAATAAATTTGAAACAATAAATTAAGTGAAGCATGAGTTTGGGTACATCGCCGCGCAGGCTTGCATGGGGGAAAATTAAAAAGATTCAGTAAATTCAGTTTTAATGAACTAGTTATTACAAATTGCAACATTGCTAATTTGGAATGAAAGCAAGCACAACAAAAAACACGGGATAGCGTTTGCACTGGGTTATACATTTGAAAAGAAGAAAGGATATATGTGTAAAAAAGGCGGGCCCGCGTGAGCGATGAGGACCTAACTCATGATGAAAGCCGGGTAACGATCGAGTGATGGCGCATGTCCCCTAGGTATATTGGAGAAGATCACAAACTGGCACTGTTACTCGATTACGATGGCACCTTGGCCCCGATTGCTACTCATCCGGACCTCGCGATCCTGCCTCTTGAGACGAAGAACGTTCTGCAGAGGCTGTCCAATCTACCGGATGTCTACATTGCAATTATTTCGGGAAGAAACGTCAACAACGTCAAGTCGATGGTCGGAATCAACGGCATCACATATGCTGGTAACCATGGACTTGAGATCCTTCATCCAGACGGCAGCAAGTTCGTACATCCTATGCCTGCAGTTTTTGAAAACAAAGTCGCCAGTCTTATGCAATCTCTCCAAGATCAAGTATGAGTTTTAAAAAACTACCAAGGTTAAACTACGTAAACTATTGTCATCTTATTTTTGCTACGCAGCTTTGCAAAGACGGTGCCTGGGTGGAAAATAAAGGTGCCCTATTGACTTTCCACTATCGTGAGACTCCGATGGAACGTCGTCCGAAAATGGTAGAGCAAGCGAAAAAGTTGATCGAGGATGCTGGCTTCAAAGCTTGTCCAGCACACTGCGCTATCGAAGCTAAACCTCCGGTCGAGTGGAACAAAGGCCGCGCTTCTATTTACATTCTACGGACCGCCTTCGGACTTGATTGGAGCGAAAGAATCAGAATTATTTATGCTGGTGACGATGTTACAGATGAAGATGCCATGAAGGTGAAGTATCATGCTTGATTTTCTAATACATTTCTTGATAATGTTTCGACATTCGACATATTAATGACTTATTATTGATTTAATTTTGTCAGGCATTGAAAGGCATGGCCGCAACATTCAGAGTCACCTCATCACATATAATCCGCACGTCGGCGGAGCGTCGTCTACCAAGCACCGACTCCGTTCTGACGATGCTCAAGTGGGTCGAGAGGCATCTGAGCCGTCGCAAGCCCCGCAACAACAACGACGTCTCGTCCAAATTCCGCCGTGGAGCTTCTGGCATCACAATGGAGATGTCATTTACGCAACCTTCGGCGTAACGATACTGATCGGTCGTCTGAATCCTGTAGGCGAAAACAAAGAAAAAACTTCGTGTAGCCTTTCTTCCATTTGTTTTACACGCGTTATTCTCAGAATTTTATTTCGTAACTAGGACTAGTTAGTTTAGTTGCGTAGGGTTAAAAAATGTTTATACCAATAAGGACAGTTACAAATGAGCGCCATACCTGAAAGACACAAAAATTATGATAAGATATAGCGAGTTGTGAAAAAATAACCGTACATCGTCAAATTGAAACGAACACGATTGCTTTACATGGGACAATTACTTACTTGACTAAAATAAAGTTGACATTCTGTAGGATATCGAGCTTATATTTTTTTGCTGGATATTAGCAATTGTCTCCATGTAACGCTTTTTCTAAAACTATCTTGTATATGTTAAAATCTCTTATACTTTTTTATATCTATATGGATCTTTCAATTTTGGAAAAAAGATTTATTTTAATTTGTCTTAAAATTTCTAATTAAAAATTGAAAACTTATAATTTAAATTAATATTTAAAAACATTTCTTTAACATTTTTGTATTAGTTAGTTTTTACTGATCATTGTTAAATTTAAAAAAATTTTTGACTTTAGTATTAAATGAATCCTTGAAGTAATAGGCATAAATTATATTTCATAAATATCGATAAATAAAGAAAAATTCATATAATTTCAAAAATGAATACTTTCTTTAATATTTTAAGGCAGCTTTATAAGGCCAACAAAATAAATCATTAGATATTAAAATTCGAAATACAGAAGACTTGTGAAACTAGTGTTAAGATCTTTCCTTATGTACATATACTTTCGAAGTCTGCAAAGTTGACAAGTCATATACAAAATATTTTTTCTGCCAAATATTAAAGTAAGTTCTTATTTGCTAATTTATAATAAAAGATATTTGTGAGTTATTACTGTTAGCTAGTTTTATTGCAACTTAATGTAGATGTATTCTAATTTTTTGTTTACGTTTCTGGATTTTTTCAAAGACTTTGTTGTTATATTTTGTTTTTATTTTTCTAAGTATCTAATAATTTATTTTGCAGTTGGCAGTTTTCATGTGGCAAAGAAGTGACAATTTATTTTTCCCGAATTACTGGATGTATTTTTATCATATTTCTTTCAATACCATCAAATGCAAATTATTTTATCTTTTGTCTAAAGTCGTTGCGATTTATAAAGAATCACTGAAGGGCAAGTATTTTTAGCATTTAGTAAAAAAATATAGTAAACAAAGAGAAGTAAATGGCTAAATTGTAAACATCAATGAAGCGACAACACTTGATAAAAGAAAATTTTTAAATTGTAACCAAGTATACTTCATGATAAAAGAATTATTTCCGTATAAACTGATTTTTCGTACTTGGCATATTACTAGACAGAGAATTTTTTAGGTAACAAATGTTTAAAAGTGCAATCAAAGTAGTAATTGGCAATAATTATGTATCGATTAATCGTATCTTAATTACGAAAAACGAGAAATTTGTACCGATTTTATCAATTTATTTATAAACAAATGTGTGCTTTATAATTAATGGCTCGTAAAAAAAGTGATGAATATAAATTTTGATGTGATTGTATATGAAGAATAATCTGACGATTTTGCCATGGATACCAAGGGGTCGTGTCACATTGGAAATTTCACCAGATTTGATGTAGCGATGTTACAGTTTAATAAGAAAATTTCAATGATTGTTTTTATAAAATTAGTTTTTCTGATGTCCTATATACATTTTCTGCAATGCGAATCATTTAACATGTATATGTGCTTAAATGTTTTGTTTTGTATAAAATAATTTGTAAAGCCAATTATAAATTATTTGACTAATAATTAAAAAAAGTCTTAACAGAGATTGAAATATTTTTAGGACATATTTTCTTTCATCAAAGCCGACTGTCTATATATTTGTTATATGTACTCTCAGTTTCTAGGTTGATATTAGCCAGGTAATACATATCTATCAATAGTTTATACGATTGATTTACAATTTAAAATTTTAGTGTGAAGTTTATCATGCCATACTGTCTAAGTATTTACAGAATCCTATTCGATGTAATATTGAAGTAACTTTGACACTGAGATTCGTCAATTGAATTACATAGATCTGATGTCAAAATAATAAGACATTTTGAATATAAACTGATAATAACAAGTTAAACAGAAAAATTTTATAGAAAAAAAGTCAAATGTATGTAATATTTTGTAATATATCGTATTTCATATAAAAATACAGAACTGATAAATGTATTGCATGTTTTTAATTGATTACGTAAATGCTGAATTTGATATATGTTCGTATAAAATTTGCACAAAAAAAGAGCAGTGACACTTATATATCATGTGAAAGTATATGCACGATGAAAATTTTCAACTATTAGTTACAAAATATGTTGAAAAATATTCAGTACTTTCGGGACATAATTAACAAACAAAGTTTTTTTATGATATCAAAACGTAAGAAAGTATAAAAACGTGTGTTTATGAATGGAAAAATGTATATTTATCGAAATTGTAAACTTAAACCATAAGTCAATAGAATTGATATTTTGTAGTTAAAAGTAGTTTTTACTTTAACCCTTTTTCATCATTAATTCGCCCATTTATTGAAGACAAGAAATTGTGGAAACATTAACAGAATATTCATGAAAATTTCATCTTGTGTCGTCCTATAGACTACTACACACGCGCGCGCACATATACATATATACATATAATATATATAAATTATACTTACTAATATATTACATTTATAAAAAATAAACAAACACCCACTTTAAATATTAATTTTATAAATACAGTTTTATAGTTATTAGATTATAGTTATTATTAATATAGTAATTAGATTTATTCGTTTTGAAATTTGCTTATGAAACTAGTATCAACAAGTACCAGTACAAAAGTACTTCTCGAAAAATCAATTTTTAACTACCTTTCCTGGAAATTGCTTATGTCTCAATTTTATAAATCTTATTTCGTCTTTATCTTTCGACTGATTATTTTTTCCCTTTCAGATTTAATTGAATTAATGTGTATGCAAAATAAACAGACGAAAGAAAAGTTGCAGACTTTCTGGAGATCGTTCATCATTAGGAAACACGGAGGAATACATGGTTATCGACTCATTAATAGATTTCATTATTCTTATTCGCAAGTGTGAGATTTTCGTAAATAGCTGAATTATCCATTGTTGCTGTAGTCAACACAAGTTAATATTTAAAGAAGAATAATGAAATCTTCGGCGTATTCAAATGTTGAAACTACAATTCATTACCTGTTATATTAGTTAGGTAATGTTGTATATAATTAGATTTATCTTGCAGTAATAACAGTTTCGAAAATGATAAGTAGTCGTACGATAAATAATAAAATAGAAAAATCAATCAATAGTGAATAATAATAATTGTTATTTAAAACGATTTTTTATAAACATGGTAGTCACTATCAGTTTTTTTTATTGCAGATGGAGTGCGAAAAAGAAAGAGTGAAAGTACTACCAATGCAAAAGGGACCTGATGGCTTGTGCATCCTTGAAAATGAGCGTGTGTTATATGTGCAGTACATTGGTAAATGTACTTCTCTGTTTTTACGAGGACGAAAAAACCACCTTCTATCGACCCACACATATTTATAGTCCAAGAATTTTTCTCAGCATTTACCTTGACCTTTATTTATTTGCGTATGAGAAAAAAACTCGATGGAAGAAATATTCTTTTTCGTGATATCAGAATTTGTATAAAATTATTTTTTACATTTATAAATTATAACATATGCGTTTGCTTTACGAATCACCGATACTTTAAAGATCGATTGCTTTACCACCTAATCATTTGTTAAGTAATCAAGTTGATTAAATTTATTTTGATCCAGTAACAGGCAATAAAATGTTGAAAAGTATACAATAATATTGTTTTTTACGATGAGCGATATAAATCACTACTACAAACGTTGACTAATATATTAAATAGAAAAAAAAGCGAAACCAATATATACGATAGGCATAAGGTGTAATACTCGTAATACATATGAGATCACAATCGCAATGTTACTCATATAACAATGTTGTTATGCCAACCCAAAAATGTCTATGCCTCAACGTAGAGCGGCTTCGGTCATTTGATTTCCAAGCGCGGTCCAGAAATCGTAACCGGCCCTCGAGCGACAATCAAACCGTGTGTTGCGCAAAGACTTGCTGCCACACACAGCACAATGAACGTGTCCGAAACGCGAGCGCGCCTGTCTTTTCCTTCGTTTTTTTCTCTCTCGCTTGTGCTTCCTTTCCAAGTTTGCCGGTCTTTTATAAGAGTGTCATAAGTGCGTGCGATAAAGCATATTGAATTTTAATCTGATCGGTGTATTAACATGTTTAACGAGCTAAGTAACCCTTGTTAATATTTCAACAAGAATGTGTTGAATAGTAGCTCGTTTCAAAAGTTCTTCATACTTTTCTTTTCTTCTTGTTTATTGTGATGAAAGATATTGAGCTTGTGCTGCATTAATTAATAAAGCATCTAACAAATTGAAAGTAATATAAATTTCATTGATTATGCCAAATCATTTTTAATAATTTACTCTGAAAACTAATATTGTGACTTTCTTTAAAATTCTTATCTCAACTAGAAAATCCAAAAATTGTCCAATTATCTAACGACAACTTTCGTTCTTTCGTATAATTTATGCGTATAGTTCAGATCTTAGATTTTTGATAAATCTGTAAAACTGATCTTATCGTGTGTAATATAGAAATACTATTCTCTAAAAAGTGTACTGCTCTCGTAAATGTTCCTTTAACTGTATAGTTGATTTCTAAAATATATAGTATGTAAAATATTTTTATATACGATTTATATAAGTTTTCATTAAATTCATGATCATACTTCAATGTATCAGGCCGATAATCCGTGAATTTCACGGATGGTTTACAACCATATAATTTCAATTAATAGCACGATGTATTGTACATTTCTTTATTGCAAGTCAGCATTGACTGTATTCATGTAAAATGTAATTAAAAGTGACGGAATATCGAGTGATGGCAGACGTAAATCTCTACTGTCCGAGGACTCGGACCTTTCTAGCACTATATACATACCTTAGCTACCTTGACGAAAAGGGGTCAAAGTTGTGAAATTATATGCTCTCAAAGGGTTCATTACCTTGATAATTGGCTATTCTTTTTGATCATAATTTTATTCATTAAAGAGCTTGTTACAAAAGAAAGGGATTTTTTTGCAATAATATTTTTACATTAAAAAATTTTATTCAAATCATATATATACACGTACAACATTTGGTCAAAAAAACATAAAAGTTAATCAATATAATAATTTGATCATCTGTTCATTTAAACAGTCAAAATAATGTAAGACGGGTTTGGCTATCGTATCTTGTCAACGACATCGACAATATTTAATATCATTATTATCGATAAATCTGTATTGACAAAATGGAAAAATAGTTTACTCGGTCTATATATATATTTTGACATTAAAAAACAGTGAATATATCGATATTACATTTATAAATTCGGTGCAAAACTGACTTTTTACACACGTTTGTAATTCTTCACACCACTTATGTATATGCAATACAATAAGACTTGTCAACTTGCTATTCAATATTGTACGATAATGAACATATGATTTTACTAAAATTTGAACTAAGTTTTTTTTTCTTTATTTCCTCTAGGTTTATTTACAATCTATCTAACAAGTTAGACAATAAGTACATGAGCGTGCTATTACGAAAATTAACAAATAATGAAGCATAATACTCAAGTGAGTGTTATGCTTATTTTTAACTTGCATATATATAATTTATGGATTCCTATTTATATGTTTAAATATTTATATATATAAACTTTGGTTTTATTACTGAAAATAACCTGTGATGTTAAAAAATGTACAGAAACTTATAGACGTCTATGCAATACATAGCAGCCAATCAAAATACTCATGATACTTCAAAACATGTCACAAATAAAAATATCTTGTTCGAAAATCCTACGGCTCAACAGTATGCTAAGCACACGATGCTTATCTACAATGGTAGCAACGAATTTAGATAACAGTTTATTAGATTAAATGATACAATGATATAGTCTCAAATACAAAGAGTATAGCTGCCATCAGCCAGGTCTTTGCCTCCGGCAGTTTTGAAATTCCTCCAGAATCCTTCGAGGCAATTCAATCTAGATCAAGGTTGCAAATCGGCGACAATACGTCTCTGGTCCCTCTTGTCTGGGATTGGCGAAAGTGAGAAAAGCTTCCCCACTTTCGTTGAATTGTTCGTATTTTGGGCGTCGGTCTCGCTTAGTATAAAAGATACCGACTCTCGGCAGATCGGCAGACTTACCAGACAGTCGATCCCCTTCGAAGCTTCTTTCACTTCCAAGACAACCGAAAACTACAAGCAGCCATGTTCTCCAAGGTAATTTCTCATTTGCAATGTTTCTTATTCGATCTTTCAAATTTTAAAGATTCGTACATGTTTATTCTCTCAGACTCAAAGAATCAGCTTTTTAAGCCTTGATATCCTTGATGAACTGGAGATATTGATGAAAAAAATAAAATGGAATAATTGCAGATTGCAGTTCTTGCTTGCGTCCTTGCCGTCGCCAACGCCGGTGCGATCGGCGTCCCAGCTGTGGCCACGTACGCCGCTGCACCAGCAGTAGCAACTTATGCAGCACCAGCGGTGGCAACCTACGCGGCTCCGGCTTACGCGAGCTACGCCGAGCCAACTTTGAGCGCGACATCGGAGAACACGTACCGCAGCGCTGGCAACCTGCACACCGTATCTACCCAGTCAAGAACCATCGCCACACCCTACTCCAGCAGCAACAAACAGTTCACCAAGTACACGAGCCCATCCGTCTACACTCAGGCTACCACGTACGCTGCTGCCGCCCCAGTCGCCTATTCCGCCCCAGTCGCCTATTCCGCCCCGGTCGCCTATTCTAGTCCAGTTATCAAGGCGGCGTACGCTGCCCCAGTGGCTCATGCTCCCGTCGCCTACTCGGCACCAGTCGCTCACGCTGCACCTGCTGTCGCTCATGGAACTAGCCTCCTCGGAGTTGCTTACTCGCCAGCCGCCGCCGTCTCGCATATGACCTACAACAGCCCAATCATCGGTTATGGATGGTAAATCTTCGATTTCAGCGCACCTTCCGAGAGTGGCTCATTTTTCCTTTTCTGTACATTAAGCTCTATATGTGTATTTATTGAGTTATAAATAAAATAGTTGTTGAACGACTTATCAAGCATAAACACGATTTTTTCAATTTTATAAAATCACTCCTTCGTGTCGAATAAGACAGTACGCTCCTCTGCGAACTAAATATAAATGTAAGCAAATAAAAACCTAACTGTCTCTGCATCGACATCTTGTAACAGGGTCAGGGCACCTTACTCCTTTTTTTTCTTATTATTTACTCCGATACTTCTTTCCGTGCTCGGACGCATCTCCTCGCAAATGGCCATTTCTTCGCACTAAATCATACTATGTAAACTATATATTTTCTAGTTGTAATCCTAATGGGTTTTCTAATGAACGTTCCTATTGTTAATAAAGGTTATAAATACGAAGAACCATCGCAGAGCGACAGTTCAGTCTCGAACGAACTTCGTTCCGTGCGGATACCTCGCAGGAGTTCTGTCTTACACTTAATAAAGACACTTAACATCTAACTTATTCGCTTCATTTCGACCCCCGAATTCTAACAATTACCCTCGCGCATATTCTTAAGTCGGCCATCGCTACCATTGTGCGTAAAAGATTGCGAAAAAGTGTACATCCAGTTTAATAGGTGACATTCATCAAATTTCAACAGCAGTTATGCTATATTGAAATTTTTCTTGAAAATTAATTGTTTCAGAGTTTATACTCATAATATTAATGACAGAGAAAGTTCTCACCTTCAGATTCATCGTATTAATGGTAATTGTTGGTTAGATTTATAAAAATAGAGTTTTAATTCATTTATATAGAAAGTATAGGGAATTTTACTCCATGAACTGCAGAGTGCCTTAAAATGTTTCATGGAGTAATTTGGCAAGGGAACAATAGACACGATGAAGCTAACGTTAAGATTAACGGTTGAAATCAACTCCAATGATGTTGGCGCATTCGCATAGTTAAAAGAGGTTGGAGTAAAGCTCATACAGCAATTGCATCGTGAGTCAACTTATCAGAAAGAGCGGCAAATGATTCAAATTCCATTATATTTCCTTTTTTATAATAAAAACCTCCAGTGTAAAGTGATACCTGTTTCTGCGAAGCGCCAAAATGAGCACCCTAAACTTCTCGACTATATTTGCAATTATAATTTCTCGATAATATAAGCTATATCTTCATATTGCTCAATTTTTTCTTTTAATGAACGGAAAGATTCGATGACAAGTTACTGTAAAAACATGTTTGGTGAATTTTGTTATCTCGCTATTAAATTTTTCGATAAGCTCGACAACAGTGCATTATATATGTTTCTTCAACATGATTTTGACATCGTAAATATGATTTTGTGCACCTTTACGTGAAACTTTCTCTAATTGCTAACTATAATAATAGGTTTAATCGTGCGATTGAGAGCTAAGCAACTTACGATAATTACAATCATTACACTTTCGATTCATACATTGCTTGTTTTCAATATTACAGCAGATACAGTTCACACATTCCTGAAGATTTTTCGCGTTAGTGTTTTTATGTAAATAAATTCTTTGAAACAGCAATTTCATGTTCTCATCATGTATGCATAAATATATTTCACGAGCTGAAATCTTTAGTTTTAAAACCCTCCACGGCTTTAATTTGAAAAATGTCTTGAGATATTTTTGTATTAGTTGCACAAGATTTCTTGAACAAATTGTACACAGTATCCTTCAAATAACGTTTGCAATTCCTTACTTTGTGTTTATAAAAAAAATTGAATTTCTTAACAGCTTATATAACCTATAGTGCTCTTCAATCTATTTCATATACAAGTGTTTGAAACGCAATTATATAATAAAATAAATTATTCAAATTATAAAGTATGTCATTGCAGTTATAATAAAGCGATTGAAAAAAAACATACATACCCTGTGTGTATGTGTGTGTATGTGTGTTTAGGGAAACTTTCCACGTACAAACTCGGCGCTTAAACACCGAGCAAACGATAGATTTAAAATCTACGGCGTTATAAAATTATTATGCATATATAACAACAGATATTTTTGGCTATTCATTACAATTTATAAAAACAATTTATGAAACAAATTAAATATTTTGACATTTCGAAAATAACTAGTTATATAGTATTGCTCACAAATAACTAATTTTAGCACAATAAATTCATTATAATAAATCGATTTCTAAAAGGTCAGTCCTCGACAAATAACACAAATAATTAACAATAAACAACGATGCTAGTCATAGAATATCAATGTTTCACCTCTAATATTTGTGACCTCTTTAGGGTCTATTCATTATATATAAAAAAACAAAAATTATAATAAATAACAATACAATTATTAATGTTCTGCAAAAAACAATATGGCAAGCAATTATAATCAACTCTTACGAATAAATAACTCTTGACAATTGTTTAACATTACAAATATAACTCTTACAAATAAAGAGCTCTTGGCAAACAATTGCCATATTGTTTTTTACAGAAGACTAATTTTTGCTTTTTTTTAAATAATAGATCCTGAAGAGGCCACAAATACCTATTAGTGCCGAAACATTGATATTCAATGACTAATTTGGTTGTTTAATGTTAATAATTTACCTTGTCTAAAAAGCGGGCCTTATAGAAATCGATGTATTATATATCTTATTACTACAATATTAATTAATTGAATATTCAATTATTGTTTATATACCTCAGAATGGTTGTTTATTTTGTTTGGAGTCTAAAGAAGGTAAGAGTAATTTAACTCAAATAATCAAAACTTCGCACCGTGTTAACAATATTAATTACGGTTAACAGTAATTCCATTAATCGAAATAAATAATGCAACTGAGCAGATCAATAGACAAGGTCACTGGTATGTTGCGTAACTAGAATGATGTATGAGGTCAGTTTAGAGAAAGTTCTGCCGTAAGCAAAGTTCGAACCCCACCTTATTTTTAAAATGCTTAAATGATCTCACGCTAGTGTATAAAAGATTGCAAATTCGTCGAATAGACAGATACAAAGATCACTCGATCTACTTGTACTACTAGCTCATTGACTAAGTCAATCGAAGCTTAGAATGCAACCATGCTCTTCAAGGTAATCTTGAGATGCTTTTATTGTGAGCTGATGTGTTCTTGCTTGTGTGCTTGCCGTCGCCACCACCGGTGCGATCGGCGTCCCAGCTGTGGCCACGTGCGTGTGGCCTCATCAGTAGCAACCTATGCCGCGCCAGTGGTGGCAACCTACGTGGCCCCGGCTTACGCGAGCTAAGCCGAGCCAACTTTGAGCGCCACACCGGAGAACACGTACCTCGGCGCTGGCAACCTGCACACCGTATCTACCCAGTCAAGAACCATCGCCACACCCTACTCCAGCAGCAACAAACAGTTCACCAAGTACACGAGCCCATCCGTCTACACTCAGGCTACCACGTACGCTGCTACCATTCCAGTCGCCTACTCCGCTCCAGTTGTCAAGGCCGCGTACGCTGCCCCCATCGCTCACACCACCTATGCTGCCGCCCCAGTAGCCGCTGCTCCCGTTGCATATACGGCACCGTTTGACCATGCCGTCCATATCGCCTATTCTTCAGCTGGCGCTGTCTCTCGTGTTTCTTATTCTAATCCTGTGGGTATCAACTATGAATGGTAGAAGATAATCAATCATTAGAACTGTAATTTTATCGATAGCTTCTTTTCTTTATCAATCCGTTATTTATTAATGAATAGTAATGCGATCGATCACTTTAAAATGTGACTATCAATTATTTCATTTGGGTAAATCCACGGAATCTTTAATTTTTTATTACTTAAGGTTTAGTCGCAGAAAAATTTTCATTCGTGACTATAAAATATATAAACCTTTATTCTAACTGTATAAGTAGCCAACTAAATCATATTTGTAGGTTAAAATATTATTTAGATATTCGTTTTGCTTCCATATTTTTTTAAGGGAGATTCGATACGTTATGAAAACTTAGTACAATGTTCTTTTCATTAAGAGCTTTGAAGTCTTTACAATTATATTATGTGCCTATACAAATATCTTTCAAAATACGCCCTGAAACTAGTGTTACTCCGTTTTCGATTGCGAACTTATTTTTTACATTTTTGCTTATAACTTTTTGAGGGATGTAAAAATTATAATTTTGATTTGATATTCGAATACCTTGTTTGAAAACAAACAAAACTGCGTCTCCAATATTAATGTGCCATTCAAAAAGGCTAAGCTGTAAGTCGAAATGTTTGAAAATATTTCGCGTAACTTTTTTTAAAAATTCATGTTTTTTCGTAGGCATAGCTTCAGTTTTGAATTTAACTCACTCAAAATCTTGTATGTAATTAATAAAGCGTCATTCTAGAAGTATATTACCAAAATTCTTACTTTAGGATTTCTAAACTTCTTACTCTACGAAGCTTTTAATAATAAAAAAAATGTGAGTTTTTGATGAAGTATAGAATATATTATTTAGATCGCGTATTTTTAACACGTTATCCATAGAAAAATATATTTATAGTCGAATGAAGTATATTGGGAAATGAAAAGGTAACGTAAAAGAGGAGAATGAAAAAATGAGTACCATGTATAATCTTAATTAATTGATAACTAATATTTACTTTTCAATAATTTATTAATTATAATTACATTTCGATTTTTTATTTCTTTCAATTCAATTTGAATACTTTTTCTTCAACGACGCTGTTGATTCGAGTTCTAATTATACTTGAAGTTTCACTTTCAAGATTACATATCATTTGTTGTATTTTCCCAGCTGCTCGGCGGATGACCCGCGACTTGATATTATACTCACACATATAGGAGAATCTAAGATTAAATTGACTTGGAACTTGAGCAAAATATCTTTTATTGTAACGTGATTTGTCATTTAAATGCTTATTTTCAAACATAATTTTGCACAAATCATAAATTCGCGTTTTTCTATTTCGATCGATGATTGTAATGAAATCTATTTCACGAAGGCAATTTAATAAAATAGTTACAATTACTAATTAATCTGGACCCAAACGTTGCGACTACGATTGCTATTTGAAAGAAAGCAAAGATTATTCTCGAAAAAAGATAGGTAGGTGATTGATAAGAATAATCAATAGTAAAAATATGAAAGGTGCGATTACGGTCACACGAGTACACGAACATGTGCTGTCCGTATACCAATATCTATCGCTCAATTAGTTTATGAAAACACAAGCTTTTAGTATCAACAAGAGAACAACGGTAATCCTAATTATTACATTAACGACTTGGACATGTATGGTAAGTTATAAGTACTGCTTCGAAATCTTGAAAAAGTGTCTGCTAATATCGAGTAATCGGTGCTAGTAAGCACTTGGTATTGAGAAAATCGAGTCAAGCCTGTGCCTCAAGACCCAAGCAAGCTTGGACTAACTATCAAAGCCAACAATAGATTCTTCGAACGTAATGAAGAATAAAGTTGTTATTAGATTTCCAAACTTAGAAAGTGTTGTTAGTCAAAATAATCTATTTATTTCATAGTTTATTAATAGTGTTTATTTCATAAATTTTGCCGACGATTCGGTGACGTTGTCTACTACCATCTTCAAAGCTACCAGTGAACAAACTTGAAAAGACTTCAAATAAATGATCTACACATGTGTAACTATTATTATTTCTTTATCATTCCTTGGATTTGTAATGCAGTGCAATGTGTATAGCAAAACTTTGATCGATGACAGAGTAATTACATGAAAGCTTCTTTTAAATAACGCATTTTGTTAAATTTTATTATAATATATTTCAATGTGATTATAGAAATTGCTGGTGGATAGATTTTGACATATTGTTTAAATAAAGTAAAAACTTTTCTTTTTTGTATTTGCTTCGAGTTTATACAATCTGTCTAATGTATCAATATAATAAGTAAATGCTATTATTCTATGAAATATATACGCGAAATTCAGAAGAATATTTCAGTAATTATTCTGTCTTATTTGTTTTAGAATATAACAAATAGATTGTGTATTCATTAGTTTATGTTTTTTGAGTCTGCATGATGGTTGTCCTGAAAAGTTTACCGATAAATTTATTTAGGTGGTTTTAAAGTCCAGTGTTATATTTTGTGTAAAACTTTTTAATTTCTTCTTTAACTGCTATTGGAACCTGTATGTCATTTCGGATGATTCCGTTTAGAAAGAACCATAAGGCCCGAACGATGTTGCATAGGACTTTAAATTGAAACTTTCCAGGATTTCAATGTTCGAGTTTGAAGCAGCATCCTATATGAATGCCACAAGTCTAAACTGGTTTAATTACAGGTTTATATAACAGTAATTTGTTTCCAATGAGCAGTGATTTTCCTCTAATCAGCCAGTACATTTTCTTTTATTTTAGTTCTAACTGTTTACATTTTGTGAATTTATGTTCTTTCCATGTAAGCCTCCGATCTAAGTGTATACTTAAATATTTTACACGGTTGCTATGAAGATCAATATATTAATCTTTAAGTCAAATAGGTGAGCAGGTGTCGAAGTGTCAACGTCGTATGTATTGACTTGTTTCCATTGTCTATAATTTTCCATGAGTTAAATTGAAATTACATAATTACTAAGGTAATTTTCTACTGATTCAGATGTTGTATCATCTGCGTATGTTGCAGTCATGATATTAGAAGACTTTGGTAGATCCGAAGTGAAAAAAACAGCAAAAGCTAAATATGAAAAATTATTTTTTATAAATTCCACTTTAAAACATAGTCGGAAGCGGTACTATATTTTATTACGTTTTAATAAATAACTATGTATCGAACTTAGTTTTAAATATTGTTGATATAAATAGTACAATAATTGATACGAATGTCCTGTTTTATTTATTATTTTTATTCAATGCTTGATAAAGGTAATGAAAGTTTTAAAATAAACATGATCTAAGATAAGTGTTACACAATAAAGTCTGAGATATAATAATCATATGGTAAAAAATGTTTTTGTTTTAATTTTAATTTCAGCAAATTATGTGGTAGTATTAACTTATATGTATGCTTTTTTCCGGTTTTTTACTACTCTTGCAACGTCAACGTGACTAACAAGATAACATACGTCCAGAAATGCATTTTGTATAACTCGATGCTGTTATTGTAGAATTTTACATATAAAAGTAAACTTATATTCATTTTTTATTATTTAATCTTCCATACCATCCTCTGTAAGACATTTCAAAGTCAACGCCTTGGAAGTACCTGCGTAAAGATTTAATCAAGGGCGTTCCAAGTGAAATGACCGTAGAAACATTCTTGGTGAAAGGTCTTCAATTTCCGAAAGGTACAAGGTTGCGATATTTTTTTAAGCTTTTTAGTCAGGAAATTAAAAATCATTGAAAAGATGAAGCAAAAGCAAAAAATTATATTAATCAAAAGAAATCGATAGATACAAGCTCAGAAAAACAATCAATGAATTTATGAGGACACTTATATGAAAAGATTTATCGTCAAATTTCAACAATATAGACGACTGTTTATGTGCTAAAGATTCGCTGATTTTGCGCCAGCATTGCTTATTCCTTCATCACAACCACCCCAAAGCTAGGTGCTAGATAAAGACAGATGCTAATTTTTTAATAATTTATAGATTACTTTCTTGGGCTGTTATTTGCTAATTTTTGTATTAAGGAAATTCTGCAATTGCAGCAATTATAACAAAGTTAATAAATATTTTTAAAGAACTAATTTGTTAATAAAATTAGGAAAAAACATTTTTTTAATATGAACATCAGTAACGCCAAGAAAAGTACACATGTACAACAAATGAAAAATAGCGTTAATACATACTCGTTTGTGCATATAATTTACATTGAAGGAATTATTTAATGCGCTACTCCGATTTTAACTGTATTTTTTAACAGAAGACTCGTTTTTGTATTATCAGAGCCAATGGCAGAGAGACATGCAAATGAAAATTATGCAGGAAATAAGTGAGAAGATCGATTATATAGAATTAATCAGCCTCGAAATCATACAACGAGCTAAGCATGAATTGACATTACAGTAAAAACACAACAATAGTCTAGTTATGTCTCAATCTGACAAAATGACACTTTCTCTATGAATCGGCTGTCTATGGCGTTACATATATCGGAAAAGTAGGTAATCTCTTTCTCTTTTGTGAATATCGAGTCAAGGCTCGGCTCTACTGGGCGGAGCCTTTCGTATAAAAGTGTTCGACGGTCAAGACGAAAGCACAGTTGTCTAGACTTGACTCAATTCGAGAAGACCAACAAACTGCCATGTTCGCCAAGGTAATGTATAGTGGACAGATTTTTGACCCTCCAGATTTCTGTTTTCCATAAATAAATCTAGCTAATTAGAGTGGAAGTTTCGCAACTCTATGACTTTATTACTAAAATCTTGCCGTTGAAATGGACAGAATAAAAGCGAAATGGAGCGTATAATTAATTTTCCAGTGATATGAAACAGTGCCAAGAGATTGAGAATTTGACCGACATACGACATGAAAAGAAGCTGAAATTTAGCCATTTACGCGTGCGAATATTACAGATCGCCGTTCTTGCCTGCGTGCTCGCCGTCGCCAATGCGGGTGCGATCGGCGTGCCAGCTTTGGCCAGCTACGCCGCGGCACCGGCAGTGGAAGCCTACGCGGCACCAGCTCACTCGAGCTACGTCTACTCGGCTCCGATCGCCCAGGCCGCATACGCTGCCGCCCCAATTGCCCAGCCGGCATACGCTACCGCCCCAGTGGCTCATGCTCCCGTTGCCTACTCGGCGCCAGTCACCCACACCGCACCTGCAGTCGCTTACTCGCCAGCCGCCGCTGTCTCGCATGTGACCTATAGCAGTCCGCTCATTGGCTATGGCTGGTAAACTTTAGTCATCCCCTCACGCTGTAAACTTTCTTGAGATTTTAATGCGCTTGTGTAATTAATTAAATAAAATTTTACTATTTTCAATAACCATGCGGTGTATTGTTTTGTTGATAATCCCTCACAATCAGTGCTGAATGCAGGAGCAGTGCTGAAGTTCGTCCATTTAATAAAATGTATAGATTCGACCTAACATTATTACGATAATCGATCAAATGATCAGTGATGAAGTGAACCGAGTATACAACATAGTTAAGAGTGTTTAGAGAGTAACATTGACGAACGTAACGTGTTACGACTCTTAAAGTTCAATAACATATTATCTATGTTAACTTAGCGTTGTAGTATCAGATTTAAACTTTTTGGAAAAACTGCAGAGCAATCAATTCGTGACCAACATTATTTAGACGAACTAGACCTTATTGCACTTTTTGATATTTCTATGCTTTTGATAATAAATAATCTACCATTGGACGATAAATTAAATAATTTAAGCGTATTTGAAAGCCTTGTATGTTGCAAATTTAATAGCAGCTACGAACAAACACATTCCAATACTAACAGTTCTGAAATGGAAACAACATCAAATAAGTATAACAATCGTAATTGAATAACAAGCTCTTCATAATATCATTCTCTTATTCGTAGAATTTATTTTATTAAGAAGGGTATACTAAAAATTCACTGTCGAAAATGTGTGGGTGCTTTTTCGTATAATTAAAAGTAATCAAAGTCATTTTAAAGCCAACATCTTCTCGATATTTGTAAATTGTTAGTTAGGGTGATACCAATAAAATATTTTGCAGGTTCATGCTTTTTAGAAAAAGGAGGATTGACTTTATGAATAAATACACAATGTCTAATTTCATTGAAACTTTGTTTATCCCTGTTTATAATTCAAACATGGCCGTTTACAGCAATGTAAATGCTCTTATACATGCCGTAATCACACAAATGATACTGATGATCTACTGACAAACTCATACAAATGCACACAGTTTACATAGCTAATTACAATACAATGAAGTAATACTGCCATTAATGAGACGTAAATTTGCAACTATTGACCGTTCCATCAATGATTTTTTGAAACACACAACAGAATTCAAAAGTATTAAGAAAGGTCGGTATATGGCAGCGAGTGCCTTGGCTAAGTTACCGACTGCTTTCTCGCAGTAGATAATAACCCAGTTAAAGTACGACCGAAGTGTGGAGTTTACCCACCAACAGTGTAGCTGTCGGCCAAAGATCGGCGAAAGGTCCGATGATAAGTTCAGGCTCGATTATTCGATTTTATCCTCAAACTACGTGTTACCCTGCAAGAGTGAGGTATTTTTTGACAATTCGCTCCTTATTAGCAAAGACAGTCGTTCCAATGCCTGGAAAAATAAAATATAGAATAGAATTTTGAATAGAATTGAGAATAACGAATGAGAATCGCTATATAGAAGCGCCGAAGCAGGAGAAGAGTACCTACCAAATTCATTTCTTTGTAGGAAGCTTTAGCGAAACTCGCTCTGATGGCGTTACAGGGTTTCAAGGGGTCGGCCATGAAAGCAGCCCCTGGAGCCACGAGGACACCATGAGTGACACCTCGCTGCATTACCATTTTCCAAGTGTCCGGGATACCGGGGACTCTGATCCACAAGAAGAAGCCGGCACTTGGCACCGAAAACTCTGCGATTCCTGCAAATTCAGCGCACAGCAATCACGCGACTGGTCCAACTTGCTTGAAAGTCAGGATGAAAGGAAAGCGCGACGGAAGTTGGTAAAAAAAAGCAGCTTGTATTACACACCTTGCAAATGCTGCTGCGCGAGTTTGACCATGAGATCGCGTCGCTCCTTGTAGAAACTCCTTATACCGCGGAAGTGCTCCATCATTTTGTCGAAGCCCCATATTTTCAAGAGTTTGTAGAGTATAACCTACGAGCGAGAGCAAGCCATTGTTCATTTTCGAGGAACAGGGAGGAGCGTCTTTCTCGGCAACTCGCTCGTACAGACTAGCAGGCTACGTCGCAGGTATGCAATAATCGCGTTTTTCACTTGCAGCCGCGTATCGTCGTGCACGCGATAGGGATAAACTTGGCTTTTCGCCGTTACGTCACTGCCTCGTTTCACACGAGCCAACGTACAGATAATCAGGTTTTTTGCTGCCGCGAGAGGCTCGTACTACAGCCATTTCACTCGGCTGAACAACACCAGTATCATTAATTAATGATCGAGCTTTCGCGACTTCGCGGCTGAGGGAACGCCGCGCGCGATAAGGAACGCGTGCTCTGACACGCGTCGTCAATTATGCATCGGAGATATTGAGCTTTTTTTCCGGCCGCCTTCTCGCCGGATAAGTAATTCGACGTTAAAATAAGTGCCGAGCACTGGCTTGCGAAAGAAACAATAGTTTATTCGACATAGTTCACTCGGATTCAAAGGCAAACGCACGCCGACGGCGCCGAGATCTTCGGCTGATGCGGTGATCTCCCACTGAGCAAGAGTCGCGCTGTAATGTGTCACACGCTGATAATGCGCCGATCAAGTTGGCCAAGAGTGTGGGATTTTTCCTCGGCGTCGTTCTAAACACGCACTCCTAGATTTACCGGTCGACGCCTCGAACGGCGTTTTCACGGCGTTTTCACGGCGTTTTCGCGTTATTGCGATTGCTCTTTGCGAAAACCACTCGAATGAGAGTCCGCATTATTAACAATAGATCATTAATTTTATAGCGCGTATCGATGCGCGCGAGGGGACAGGGTTATCGATAAACAAGTCTTGTAAAAATATTTTTAAGTGTCAATCAAACGAGGCGATAAACGCGACGATTAAGCGCAAGCGGGAGCTCGCAACAAAGGAGCTCGCGAGGAGACGATAGATCGGCGGTGTCCGCGTTGGTAGTCGCGAGCCTGTACGGGCGGCCACGGGCGGCCACGAGCGGCACCACTCACCTGCGACAGGGTCGGCGCGTGCAGGTGGCTGCTCTGCATGTGAAGCTCCACGCTCGCGACCAGCGGCGCCGCCGCCGTGATCACGCCGACGCGGAGGCCGCTGCTCAGCACCTTGGAGAACGAGTCGAGTCGAATGACCCGACCTTCCGTGTCCAGCGACAGGAACGATCGCGGCGCTTCCTGCAATTTTCAAGCGACGCGCTGCAGTTTGCTGCTGGCAGGCAACTCGATCTCGGTTGCCTAAGAAAGATACTCACGTCGGTGTAGTACATGAAGTGGTAGGGATCGTCGTCGAGAATGAGGAAATCGTACTCGCAGGCTATCCTGTAGATCTCCTTCCTCCTCTCGAGCGGCATGACCGTGCCGGTGGGATTGGCGCCGGTCGGGTTCAGGTACATGATCCTCGGCATCTTCAGACCCGAGGCCTCGCGCTCCCGGAGACGCTGGCGCAGGCAAGCCGGCTTCACCCCGTTGTCGTCCTGCTCGATCGAGATCAGTTCCGCCTGGTGCGGCGCGATCTGCGTCGGCAATATGCAACGCGTTTTCACTAATCGGCCTGCCGAACGACGCGTGCCGCGCGCTCTAAAACTGTGCTCACCACAACGCTCACGCCAGGGTAGTAGGGGTCTTGAACGAGAATCGGATCGCCAGGCCCGATGATAGCTTCGAGCGCCTTGCTCAGTCCATCCTGACCACCCGCCACAATGGCTACTTCGCGGGTCTCCCACTGGGGTGGCGTGTGCGCCTTTCTTTGGAACTCCCTGATTGCCTGCGGATAGCAATGCGTTTTTCTTCTTTCAACTGTCTCGAGCTCGCGTCGAGCCGCTGTACACCGAAAAATCCAAGGACTCACCTGCAGCAGGGGCGGATAGCCCTGGCTGGGGATGTACTGAAGCGCGGCGGCGAGCTCGTCGCCTTCCAACACAAAGTCCGAACCGTCGATCAACTTGACCGAGATCTCGCAGAACGGAAAGGTTTGCTCGTTGGGCATACCTTCCGCCAGCGAGATGACGTTGTTCGGTGCCGAGTAGGCGATCTTCGCTGGAAAAATCAAGTGGTGTTTACACCCAGTTTGTGCAACGTCTCGGCAAAGCGCGCGACTGCATCGTTGCGTTTTCAAGCCAATGAGCATTGGGAATCGTCGTCTGCACAAAGGGTATCTCGCATTACCGTCAGTTTCGAATCTACTCACTCAGTTCCCTCGTTGCGGCGGATCTCCGCTTTTTCGAAACTTCGGTTTTAAAGGCCGAGTAGTCCATCTTAAACTTGTTTGTGTTCATTCGATGCATGGCTCCGTAGGTCTTCTGTCGAGGTAACTCCAAAGTTATCGAACTGGTTCTCCTTCTGTATTCTCGCACCGAAACTTTCGAGTAGCAAAGAATAGCCGAGCGTGTAATTACTGAAGCGCAACTGTGGAATAAGCTGTCGCGAAGTTTTCTATCGACCGACTCGGAAAAAAACAAGCGAGTCCAGCGAGAAGGAAAGAGGGAGAAGAGTTGTCAGCGGTAAGCTTGCTAGCGTGCGTACTGGTCGTGAGCCGGTCGCGCGCCAGCTTTTATATTTACCGATACCATTCGATTGCGTCAGATGATATTAACCCTTCAAATTCATGGAGCGCTCCGCCAATTCTTCGTCGTGCGCTTTCGCCGAAGTTATTCCCTACTTTTTTCACTCTCACTTTTCGCCTAATTCTACGGACTCTACAATTTTTATTTTGCACTAGTCTTGGAATATTATTTTTCTAGAAACTTCATGTACTCAAATAAGAACATTGAATTTGAATAAACGCGTGAGGTACGCCAAGATTTATTCGTTTGAGATAACGGACGCAAACTGGTGCTAATTAGCCGCTATTGTTCAACGAATTTCTACAAAAACTGCTCTAATTTTTATCTAAGAACCAATTAACGAAGGCATTCGTGTCGTCGTAATTGTTCGGTTCAGTGACTGCGCAAAAATCAGCGGGAACTAAATAATCGACGTACGTAATGCATTTTTCCAATGAAATTTTTCAATAGTCTTTCTCAATAAGCGATGCGTTAAAAAATTTGATGACGTTGTAACTGTGATAATAGTTCTTCGAAGTATTGCTGTGTTATTTTTCAATTTTATTCTATGCTTCACGCAATTCTGTCAAGTATTCGGTAAAAATAATAAAAATAGCCAATGCCATTTCCAGAGTTGACGTTTGCCGTCGAGTGCTAGGTTTTTAGAGACGACATTGAAGCACCTGTGAGAGAAGCTGATGAAACGATAGGAATATCAGTAAATACAAATCATCGTTGAATAATCAAGAAACAGCTCGGCTGAGGAAATTCACGAATTGTGAAAGTTCGATAAAGTAGCCACTGCTGCGTCGGTGACCGACAAACAAACGAAAAGCGATTAAAACAATGCACATGTGTGCGCGCCAAACAGGCTGGACAGGGAAAGGCGCAAGGTGAATGTTGTGATGCTCGCGTTGACGGATAACGCGGCGGCTGTGCGAAAAGGTAAACATACAATTTCGTCATGCGCGTGTCGAAAAACCCGACGAAAAACACGACTAGCCGATGATGTAACGGATCGTTCTTATTTCAGCGACGAACGTATACAACGGATGACGAAAATCTCGCTCTCTCTCTCTCTCTCTCTCTCGCATGTGCGCATGTGCTTTTTAATCGATGCGCGCGAGTGGGATCGGCCGGCTCGTGCCGCGATCGGCCTCGGCACGTGCGCGCGCGACGCCGCGACGCCGCGACGCCGCGACTCGCTAACTCGCCAAGCCATTTCGGAGCCGGACCGACTGATGCAACTCGAAGCCGATGTTGAACCGCCGCTTGTTCCACGCACATCGCTGCTGTTATGTATATCACACGTGGAACGCGTCTTACCGGTTTCGAAGCCGAACACCACGCGAAGTCGTACATCTCATCTCTCCTTTCAATTGTGCCATCGCGACGCACTTATAATTAGATTTCCAATCTGCCGGAAGCATTTTCCGCGCCATTTTATCAAGCATTTCCAAAGTAAACCGAGGTCGCTGTTTTCAAGTGCGTTGTAGTGAATTTTAATTGAACTATCTGCATTATTATGTCACTGATTCGATATCTTGGATTTCTTCTCTGCATCAATCGATATTCCCTGCCTTTCCGCGTGAGAAAAGCACATAGTACTAAAAAATAAAAGAAAGTCGCGAAGACATCCCTTGTTTTCCACTGCAATTCTTTCGTGGAACATTTACAACAATCACTTCAGCATGTTTTTTATAAAAAATAATAATGTTTTTCGGTCTTTTCAAAAGCAAGTGTATTTTCTGGTTTCTGTAGATGTTGCAAGGTCTAATAATATCTGCATTCGTTTCTGGACGAATCGAAACCGATGCGTAAAAATCAGCGAAGCCGTAAAAAACATATCTGTGACATCGATCAAAACAATGAATATGGAAACATCGAACTGATAAAGAAATTCTGGAAATAATAGGAATGATCGTCCGATATATACATCAACATATCGTGTATTATTTTCGTTCGGCAGCCTGTCTATTGCGATGTGATACCACGCTGACGTCAGTGATAGCAGTAGTCGTGGATATGATACGTAGATATTTATCTCGCTGATGAAGATTAATGCAGTAAGGGTGCAGGTAACCTTCGAGTTGTTGACATTGATTCGATACCGGCTAGTTGGCATTGTATCACTGCCAAATTGATCAAGCGGCCTGCCATTGAACATCTTTATCAATGCGCGATTGTGCACCGTATGCCCGATTACATTTTTCAATGATAACGAAGCTGAAATGAGTGATATTCTAATTCATCAAGTTTTAGATAAGTCATGGGGTGATTCACAGGATGCGCGCAACGAATTCGTAAATAACACAACGCCCCGAGGAAACGGCACGAGCTGAAAACACACGGGCAACTGTCAAACATTCGATATCTCTATCAATATTTCACCGAAAGTCATAATACCGTGTGGATTACTCATGACTTCGAGTTGACAAACATGTGCGCGTAATTTTACAATTTATCGAACCACACGATGAGGCCTATTATCGGACCAATAGCGCTTCGTCCAAATCGATAAAACGAGGGCGTGTAAGGAAAAAAACCCGCTACTCATGCACGTGTCGCGAATTAGGAATGCGCGCACCGGGCTACAAGCGGTTTACGGAAATCTTCGAGAATGCGAGAATTGATAATGCGACCGATTTCCACATCTGGCAAACAATCGGTCGCCGAACTTCTTTTTACAATATTCCATTTGCTGTTATTTCGCTCGGCAATGGCTCTTTAGGATAAGTCATATATTTTCACCGAGGCACCTTACCTTACTCGCACTTCGAATCGCCACTAAGCTCATCGACGCATCGATGCCAGTGTGCTGGCCCGTGTACCAATTTATTTCAACAACTGTTAAAACTTGTTGTTCAGAGTCACTTTGACAGATTGGAATATCGCGAGTTGCAACATTTCGTACACGATTTCCCCAGCAATGTGACTGATGATTAAAAATACGGCGATTCAAGTTCAATAAAGCAAGCGCGAGGCAAAGGTTAATACCAGTTTCTGGACAACGAAATTAAATAAAAGTAACGTTCAAATGGATTTCATCACATATACAGGTGTGTACTGGTTGTTGCAATAAGTTACAAATTTGCCAATTATTTCTTGAAAATTTATTATTTCAAAATAACATAAGTTTTACTGTTTTACTCCGATTAGTATTTTATTGTCCTACAAGCCTCGCACACATTTTCTTTTAAACTTCAAGACTACGTGTCGTGAAATTGGAATTTATATACCTTAAACTGTTACGAAAAAATGTGGGAATAATGATTTTTAGGGCAAAAAGGTGAAAAAGACAACGCCGGAATATCTGTATTTAATACCTTATTAGGTTTGACAAATCAAATATTAATCACTACTTGGTGGTCTATCAAATACTATTCTCTCATTTTTTTTAAATTTGAAAATATCATTTTTTTACACTTTATGTAATATTCGATAACGTCTAATCAGTGTACTTCATTGTGTATGCACTTTGCAAAAATTACCTTTTATTTAATAAGATTGAATAAGCCTGACTAATTAACTTTGAAGTCTCGTGTTTTAAATATTTTTAGCATGCCAAAATTTTTTGTATAGATTTACTGGAAAAATTATGTAATAAAGCTTCTTTTGAACGAAATTAGTTTAAAGAGAGTAAAAGCATGCTACAAGCTCTGTTTCCCTGTTTATTACGAGCTCTTGAAAAATACAATTCGACGATTTTGCAATTGCTGAATCACATTTTTGTCGAATCAATTTTTAGTTTTAGACTACAACTGTAACCACTTTCTTCTTTGATTCAAATTCTAACCAAGTCCAAAATAAGCTGAGCACTTTTGATCCAATAGCCTTTCTTCACGTAAACCAGTTAAAATTATAAACCATAAGAATTACAGAAAATGGTTAAAAACTTGTATGAAAGGGGGTAAAAACCCCACTAAAATAGTTTTTATAAAACGTAAGAAGATATCTATTACCCCAGTACCCCAGCACTCACAAAGGTTTACAAGTCAGATCTTCCAAAAATAAATAAGAAAATAGTGCTGAAAAAGCATCTTTTATATAAAATCTTTTTAAAACAGGTAGACTTCGCGATTACCTTTATGTTTGGCAAGAGATACAATTGACGAATACACGTGAAATTGTTCTATGGGATGAGGAAAACACGAAGAGCCTCGAAAAAGTGATTAAAGTTGCTGAAAAAATGTAAAAGAGCAAAGAGAGTAATGAGGTAAGAGAGCGCGTAATTAAAAGGAACTCGAGAGAAGGAGCGAGAGTGAGATAGGCACAAAAGGGCCGTTAAGCGCAAATTGAAAACAAGAACCACGTGACGCACGCTAGACGAAAGAGAGAGAGAGAGAGAGCGGACAGACGGACGGATAAACGGCAAAGGGGAAGGAAGGGAGGGCGGTGCAAAGATGCCGGAAGGGCGAGAAAGCGGCAAAAAGTATATACCCGTTTACCTTTCCACTCTTTCGAGCTTGCGCCGCGAGACGGAGAAACGTACTTAACGAACGGAGAAGTTCATTAAAAGCGAAACGACGTTAGCCAACCTAAAATTACGTAGCTCGGCCGAGTCCAGCTGCCGCCGCTGCCGCTGCTGCTGTTACTACTGCCAGCTGCTTCTTTTGCCTTCACACCTATCATCGTCCTCATCTAAGAAGCTTTAACTTTTGCTCCTTCCCCTACACAGTCATTCCGCGCAACTTCCTTTCTCTCGTTTGCTACACGCTGCTACTTTTCCAACTTGTCGCGCTCTTTCGGCTCATTATCGTAATCCGCTGCAACGCAGGCTCATAGGAAAATCCACGAGACAATCGCGAAGAGAGAAAACGCGGCAATTCTAACTCGTTTTCAATTTCCCCTCGTTCGACTGCGTAACCCTCTTATGCCGTATAATGCTGCTCGCGAGCTATAGCATCTATTCGTCGATAAACCCTTCCACAGGCAGCTTTCTCCTTGACTTTTTGCCTTGAGCTTGG